TGATGAATGAATTGATGTAATTGAGAAAATGTTCTTCCAGTCTCACGGGCGCCGGCGCAGCAGTCGGCGTTCGATGTCGACCACGCACTCCACCGCGGGCTCGCAGGACGGCGACAAGTTGCCGCCCAAGGACCCACTTATGGAAACAACGCTGCTGACCACCTACACTGATTTCAAAGTAAGTTTACAAGCTTGCAGTGTGGCAAACAAGGTGTCGATGAGGTTACTGTAACTGTAACTGTTTACCATTTTGTCGTCATGTGTGTTACTTTCACGATTATAAGATTTTGCTGATTGGCTGTCTCTTTTAATTCATTGGTATTATTTTAGTGACTATTTCCAAGTGTTAATATGTTTTTTTTTAACTTCCCAAGTGTAAGAATTTTAAGGCGACCAATTTTATGGATTTTATAACTTTGTCTGTGTTTATGTATGTGTGTGTTTGCTTTTCATATTTCAAGAACAAATATAATAATTTTAAGTCGGACTCATTTCGATCGATGCACAATTAGAACCTAAATAATTTTATCATCAAAATCAGACGAATAGTTTTTTATTAAAAAAGAAATACATATTTCCTATTTTTTTGTCATTTTCTACTGGGCCAACTTAACCTGGAATTTTAAGAGAAAATTTTCCAATTCCATCAATCACCTTTATTTCTTTCTATATCTAGGTTTTTTAAAGATCTTATGAAAGTCAAAATCTACACTAGTGCGTAAAAACAAGACCTCAGAGGAGAACCGATCAAAGACGTGTTTTATTTTTTAAATGCTATGTTACAATTTTATTTATTACAACTTACAATAAATTCGTTAATGCAGCTTATATTCAAATCGTATCAGTAGTTATGGGACTGTCTGGGAAGTACTTAATATATTGATAATATATTTTTATAGTACACTTATATTTCAAAAGCCATTTACATTTTTAACTTTACATTCCAAATTTATCGTCCTTCACTGAACACTTCTAAGTTTTTCTTACTGTAAACCTTTCGCAGGACGGTATAAACGAAAAGCAAATCAGCCGCAGTTCAATGGCCAACAAATGTCAAGAGAACAACATACCCGCCATAGTCTATCACACCATTGAAGAACGAATCTCGCCTTCGGACACCCCAAAAAAAACTCCGAGAAAAAAAACACCAGCGCCTTTGACGCCTAAAATTGGAAAGGAGAACATCCAACACACCAACTTTATGACACCGAAAAGCAACATGTTGGTTACACCCAAACGGCTAACAAGATCTGCCTTAAAGTTAAATAACGATGGTTTCGCAACACCACGCGCCCCTTTAAGCGCTAACAAAGTAAACTTACAAAGGCAGAACACTGCCACATTATCCTTAAAAACAACACCAAACAATATCAGCAGATCAAAGTCCCATTCACATTTAGTTCGAGCGAAAAATTTACCTCCACTTCTTTAACATCATTAAGACCTGACCATACTTGACCAATTTAATACATTGTTTGCAGACCAGTATTTCCATTTGCCGGAATTAATTTTACAATATATTAAATTGGCAAATGTTGTCGTGTACATTTTGTTATTTAAGATTTTCTTTTTGATTGGAAATCAGAATATTATGTTATTATTTATTAGGACGATTTTCATTGTTTAGTTATGATATTAAGTTATGAAACAGTTGTACTTTTTTAATAAAGTTATACATTTAATTGAGATATTTTATCGTTCTTGCTTACTGCCACATAGAAAGGTTTTATATAAAAATTAATTTAATTTGTATGAAAACAGAATGTCAGATATTTTAAGTGATCCATGAATCCGAAGTAAATGTAATTAAGAATCTCAGTCTATTAGTAAAGACTTATTCATGTAATAGTTTTAAATTTTTGCTATTTTTACAGAAATTATATTGTAATTTTAATCGAATAGTATATTCGATTAAAATTACAATATAATTTCTGTTTCGATTATATTTAATTATGAATAACATTGAAATCTTATGTATTTTTATTGATGTACAGTAGCAGCTTCTATATTGTTTTAATTATTTCTGAGTCAGCTGGTTTGCTTAGTTTTCTTTTTAAATCGTAGCGGACTCAAATTAAGTCGTAGTCTTGTTTTAAATTTACGCTTTAGTTTTGTCAGTGATGTATATATTTTCAGGCAATTTATTAATTGCATAGTTTACCGGCAGCTTTGTTTCTGCAGTAAAGTGGTACTTAAAACTCGATCAGTATTTGAATGGTAAATTCCGAGTTACGTTTGTTTGTGTTGCAATTCGACTTTGTACGTGCTTTTTCGTTTCTTGTGTTATATAATTTGATTTTGAATTTAATTTTAATTAATGTATAATTTTAGAATATTCGAGTTATGTGTAAATTATGGCTGAAATAATATAATATAAATTAATGAATAGTTTAAACTGCATGATTATTGTTTTATTTAATTAAAGTCAAATTATTCCGGTTTTGTACGATGTTTTTGTAAGTACAAATATGAAAATACAGCGCGGTGAACCACAAATATATTAAACTAGCTGATACTCGCGACTTCGTACGCGTTCCTTGATATATTAACAAAGTTATCGTATGTGCGAAGGAAAAAACATCAAAAAGGCAAAATTTATTTGTAAACAATGTTATTCGTTGCTCGGCTTGTAGCTAAAATATATAAATTATCTGGCTTAGTAAAGCGAGAGCAAGCGACCTACAGTTGTCCGTGTGACAAATTAAATTTATATTAAATGAAGATATCGCAATCTTTTTCTTTTAGATAAGGGCCAAGCATGTCGGAAATAAAACTTAGAAAACCTAATTGAAATATATTCAGTAGTTTTTGCAAACCTCTATATTATTTAGGTTTATGTATGACCAGACGTCTTAAAATTATCTTATTTAATAATTTTATACAATAATTTATTTCATATATACAGTTACATTTATACTATATATAGCTGCATTTCACAATGTAGACTATCACTAAGAACGGATTACACGATAGTCCCATCAAAAGAAAAATGCTTGATATTTTACATCTAGCTTCCGCAATAAAATATTATCATGCGGCCAGCGAAGCGAGCGGGTATCAGCTAGTATTGAAATAAAGCCATCATGGCTTGATGATTCGATGAAAAATGAAATTGGTTTCTCTATGACAACCAGACGGCAATTGTTTGATCAGTGATCGCATGGGTGAAAACTGGTTCTGATCACCAAATGGTGAAAGGGTACGCTGAACTTTAACGTTTAGTTGGAGAGGTCACTCCAAGTACTCCTACTGCCTTAGCGAAGTCCCGAAAGTCATGAAAGACAGATTTAGTGCACCCGATCTCAGACAACCGCTCAGACCCATCCTATATAAAATACAGGATTATCGCTATCACGTTCTAAAATAACAGCATACATTATAAACTGCCAGCTCATGACATAGTTTGAGTACCGGTAGTTGATTAGTAACAGAACGGGTTTCTGTCGAGGTCGCTCAGATGGTGATCTAGTTTACCTCACTCAGATATGCGGAGGCAAATAGCCTCCCCATTGGCGGTTAGTTTGGACATAGTGAAGGTCTTCGATCGGGTTTAGCACAAAGCGCTTTCGAAGCTTCCTTCCTATGGGCTTCCCTACAAATTGTGCAAATGGATTACCAGTTTTGCAGATCGAAGCACAGTAGACGGCGCATGCTACGACTACCAGTCTATTAATGCTGGTGTTTGTCAAGGCTGCGTACTACCACCTACGCTGTTTTTTCTGCAATTAAATGATATGTTGCAAACCAATAACATCAATTGCTTAGCGGACACTGGTGATGCTTTTTATATCGGTCGTTCCAATGTTTCTCAGGAACATGTTGTCGATTACCGGAACAAACTCTTGTCTGAGGGCGTTTCTTTGTTAAACAAAGTTTCGGATTGGGGGACGACTAAATCTATTCCAGTTTTAGCCTCAGACCGCTAAAAGGAACTTCTTTCCGTATATCTTCAATTTCAGAGAAAATCGAATGACGAACCTTGGTTTGTCTACACCAGTGTTCACACCAGTATTGTTCTCACCAGTACTGTTCACCCCAGTGTCCGCTCCTTCCACTTGACTTTTTCTTGAGTTCTTTCTGATCGGCTCGAAGTGCTCAAAGGTAATGGTCGGATTAATCCCAGCCGCTTTCCACCATCGCATATCGTTCAATTACCTACATACTCTGCAAGATTATGGAGCGTATATTGATTGCTCATCTCATGGCATACCTAGAAAAGAATTATCTCCTCGGTGACCGCCGGTAGGGGTTTCGCCGAAATCGATCAATTGGCGTATGCTACTCACATATGGGGCGAAGCCCTCGAGAACAATGGTGAAGCACTTGCTGTTTCTCTAGATGTTTCGAAGGCATTTGACAGGGTTTGGCACGGTAGTCTATTGGGCAAGCTTTCAGCGTACGGCTCATCTCCTGGGCTGATTGACTGGGTAAAGGATTTTCTGAGTGAACGATTTCTCCGAGTCGTCATCGATGGCTGCTCGTCCTGCCCTACGCGACAAACGCCGAAGTTCCTCAGAGATCCGTTCTCTCCGCAACTCTCTTCCTGCTGCATATAAATGATTTGCTCATTCCCGGGTCTGTGGGTATGCAGACGACAGCACAGTTGTGGAAAGATACCAACCAAATGCCCAGGCCAGTCAGGATCAAATCCAGTCCGAACGAGAGGCTATGATAGAGCGTGTGAATCTCACACTACAGGCTGTCTCCGAATGGGGCGTTGCCAATCTCGTGAGATTCAACACCTCCAAAATCCAACCCAATTTTGAACCCTAGGGGTCCTTATACGTAAAATTACAAATGTTTAGGTGTTATAGTTTATGAGTTATGGGAGGGGTTGGAAAGTGGCTCAAAATGTTTCGTGTAATAAACTGTCTGTACATCGTCCTTTTTTCCAAACTTGCCTGACACGTTGCCGTGTGTTTAGATATCCATAGAAACAAGCAGATGCTCCATAGCCTATGCGATTTGTTGACATTAAAACAATCTTGTATTTATTAAGAATGTCTATATTTTTAAATGTTGATGTTGGACCGTCTGGCAGAAGATTTAGAAGAGCAGTTGATAGTGATAAGGCTGATATAGAGTTCATTTTGAACAGAAAATACACCGACAAATTATTCGGTGATGTTGACATCGGTAGCTTAATGTAAGCAACTAATTGATCTTAGCATATTAACAATAATTATTATCTCTAGTATTAGCATGCGATATTTGTGTGCCTCCTGTATAGCTAAATTTCATAGTGTACTATGAAATTTTCAAAGTAAGTTTAAAGTAAGTAAGTAAGTTTAAAAAAAGGACGTGGTAAAGCTGTAGCTTTACCACGTCCTTTTTTATAAAATATCATCTTCATGCAGAAATCTAGTGTCGGACATGTAGAAAATTTATATCCACGGAGCAAATACTTTGCCTATAAAATAACCCTAAAAAATATGCCTGCACCCTAAGATTCATATTTTCATTTAACATAGAATCCTTTTGAAGTCTCAAACTAGCAGTAGCAGTGGAGTAAATAAGTTTATCTATGTCAGACATATTATTATGATGAAATACCTAAACATTTCACAATAATATGCCGGATGACAGTGCCAAGCTTTCCTTACTTTTATTTTCGATCTATATAATATGGCGTGAAATAACTATTACTTACTGCACAGCCAAATCTTCCCTTTGTGTTATAAACTAGTTGTAATGGTCAAATTGGCCAGGACACCCAGATTAAGAAACATGTCTAAATATTATATCTGGAATTATGAAAATTGTTGCAAGTACTTATACACGTAGGTACAGAATAACACGATTTAAATTAATTACCTCTTATAAGTTTATAGCAATACCAGTGCGATGGCACAGATTAAATAACGGTGATGGTATCGGCACTTCACTCACTCGCTTCCAAGCAGTTTCTAAAATAAATTTTGTAAATAGTTTGTACAACCATTAATGTAACATTTACTTTAAAAAAGTCCCGCTGGGTTTCTTGCTATTGCTTCCCAGGACAGAGGAATTTTTCGAACCAGTGGTAAAGTACAAAATGACTCAATAAGAATTACACGTGTGATTTATATTGAATATAAAAAAAAAAAACTAATTATACACACACACCTGTCTAGCCTACCTTTGTACCACCTACTTGTATATAGTTATCTGTGTGGCCAATCTTCGTCTTGGCAATGCTCGCTAGCTGGCGCATACTGATTGATCAGAATAAAATAAATTCTAGCGCATGTAAAAGTTATTCTTACGAAGATTTGATATTATAAATTAGATTGATGATTTAAAATATAAGAAGTTAAGTATGTACAACATAATGAGTTTTCTTAAGTTTTTTTTTACTTATGTATATAAGTAGCTATTTTAAGCTTCTTGTACCTAGTACATTTCAATGTCATTTTGTAACTGTTGGGAGAAAAATAGTCTAATTGTGAGTTTCTTGCCGCTTCTCAAAACCTCTCCCGTAGAATCGTAAGGCGTCGTCCTAATACAACGCGATTACGCGATCATCGCGCGAGTAAGCGATGCGAACATCGCGTACCCGCGCGATATCAAAAACTGGGTGTCCTAATAGAACGCGAATACGCGATCATCGCGCGAATTTACTTTGCGAGCGGTCGCGGATTCCACTTCGCTGCGCAGTTTGCGCATGGCATTGGCGCTAAACATGGACGTCAGAAACACCCAGTTTATACTTTCTGGTAATATATAGATGCCCTATTCTGCTGGTCTTGACAGCAATGAAAAAAACGAAATGGGTCGCAGTGTGCTTTGTGGCAAATGAGACCGATATGTGGTGAATTTCACAATCAGTATAGGTCGGGTCCCTGCCGTTCACCCCGCTGCCCGACGACGACGACACGACACGATTGCCGCGCGAATGTCATTTAGGACACCTATTCGACAGCAATATGTTTGATGGCGCGTTCGTAGGAACTAAGTTCGCGCGAATAGATTTTCAAACAATTATGTCGCGCAACCCTATCGCGCGAATGCCAATTAGGACACCTATTCGAGATCAGTATGTTTGATCGCATGTTCGTACGAGTAAAATTCGAGCGAAGTTGCGATGATCGCGCATGTCGTTGTATTAGGACGACGCCTAAGAACCTTTAGTAGCGATAACGTACCTGATAGTAGTAGCTTCTTGACTTTTGAAAAGTGCTTTGTATTTGCCACTATTGAATAAAAATGATTACACTTTTGACGATTCAACTTTTCTATCGATAGTTAATTAACTAAAAAAATTACAAATTACGATTATAGGTTCCTAATACCGCCATATTAGTTCTCATTGAGATAAGCTAACAATTTTTGAAGTTATACTTCTTTTGGAGCGTTTGGGAAAAATTATGTGAGTGAATTTTTACGATGCGCGCGCACACCGACAGGTAAAAACGACACCGCGAAGTTGCTACTATAAGCGTGCACACTGACACCTAAAAGCGACAACTTCAGTGGGTAACTGTCGCAAGTCTTTTTGACAAAAAGAAGTATAACTTCTACGCGCGTGTACATAAGTACACACACAGACACTTTTTTTTTTGTAAATAAATTATTGTTATTTGCTATTTTATAATAAACTAGCTGTTCCCCGCGACTTCGCCCGCGTGGAGTTATTTTTCGCGGAACCCTAAAATAAAAGCAGCCCAAGTTACTCCTTATAACATCAGCTATCTGCCAGTAAGTATAAATATTGACAAATATTGACATTAATATTTATACGATACTAACGACACTCAATTGTTTGCCTTCCCGGAACCCCTCCACTAACACTTAAACTTTATGGTATGGTATTAAAGTTCAAATTGACTTTTAAGTATAATTACGAATCTTTTGTATGGGAACATAGAAAAGTGTTGTTTTTAGACTTTTTCAGACAATTTTTTAAATTTTTCTCTCCGTAAGAACCATCTTCGTACTTCAAGGAATATTACAAAAAAAGAATTAGCGAAATCGGTTCAGCTGCTCTCGAGATTTGCGCTTAGCAACACATCCAGCGATTCATTTTTATATTATACTAGCTGTGCCCCGCGCCTTCGCTCGCGTGGAATTTACTAAGATTTCATGGATATCAATTTTTTTGCGCGGAACCCTAATTTTGTTTCTACCATCTTACAAATATTGACATTAATATTTATACTATACTAACATCACTCAATTATTTTGCCTTCCCGGAACCCCTCCACTAACACTTAAACTTTATGGCATGGTATTAAAGTTCAAATTGACTTTTAAGTATTATTACGAATTTTTTGTATGGGAATATAGAAAAGTGTTGTTTTTAGGCTTTTTCAGGCAATTTTTTTATTTTCCTTCCGTAAGAACCATCTTCGTACTTCATGGAATATTATAAAAAAAAATTAGCGAAATCGGTTCAGCTGCTCTCAAGATTTGCGCTTAGCAATACATTCAGCGATTCATTTATATATTATAGATTCGAAGACACATAGTTAAACAGGTTTTATTATATTTGTTTGATCGCATATTACAATTTAAAAATTTATTATGCTTGCACCTCAGACCGTCAACTTCTTTATTAGTCTGAGTCTCGCAAGGGATAATATGCATATCGGCATAGGCAACATCATGTATTGTCACAGTCCTGATTTCATCACTAGATTCTCGTCATCTCTTTATAAACAACTTACCAATTGAATATTTCAGAGAATTAAGTACCTTATCGATTTGTATGATCGATAAAAATAAGGATGTAACAGGATTCATGGCTCTTGGCGATTACCCCAATGTTGCAGGAGTCAGTCAAGTTGATTGGGAAATTTGGATTAGGAACATGTTTCAGTAAGGTTTACTTGTTTTTTGTGTTACTTCTTTATTTCGTAATGTATCTTTCTATCAGCCCGTGAATAGTAAACCGTTCTTTATTAGTCTTTCCCATAGTATTTCTGCTTCATGCTGACGGCGTGTTAGTTTGAGATTGTTCTATAATTTTTCCTCTTATGATATTAAGGGACGATATGGGGTGAAAGATTCCATATATATTATATTATTATAAGCCAGTGCTTGACTACATCGAATTAATCACTAGCTTATCAAACCTGATGGGAAGTGGTGATGAAGCTTTATAGAGCCCTAGAACAAAAGTCTCTTTACTAATGCCTTGAATACACCCATATTGTAATCAGATGGAAATACAAACGCCGGCAATTTATTCCCCTCCTTTGTTGTACGCATTACGAAAGACGAAGCAAACCGTTTGGATATAATACTTGGAATATCTTTAACAAAGGAGTAAAGGCTAGTCAACCACCTGGTTATCCGATGGTGGAAAGGGGTCAGAGGAATTAAGGCATCCTGTAGAACAATATTCTCTCGTCTGGATATTTTTTTTTATAGGAGAGGGGGCAAACGAGCATGCGGCTCACCTGATGGTAATTGACTACCGCCGCTCACGAACAACTGCAACACCAGGGGAATCGCAGATGAGTTGCCGGCCTTTTAAAAAGGAGTAGGCTCTTTTCTTGAAGATATTTCAAAGTCTTCGTCTATTTATCGGAGGAAAATGGGACAGGGCAGACTATCACGCTGTCACAGTGCTCCTTGGTGAACACGTGAAATGGAGGTTAATGCCTATTTACTTTGCCTGTAATGGGTTGCTTAAATAATAACATCAGCTCTGATTTTGTAACCTGTCTCATTACAGGACACAAATTCCTTTGTTATTCAAGTAGTGAATTATTAGTTCCTTTAATGCAGTAAAAATCCTGACTTATTGCAATCAATGATTTGATGTGTATTAAACTCGGGTCTTATTATGAAATAACGCTATATTTCATTTTTTTAAATGTCTGGCCCTTGAGTTGTCTTGGTTGAATTACCAATACCAACCCGAGTAAGTGACATAGCCAAACGAATCAGTAAGCTGAAGTGGCTATGAACCGGCTATTCAGGCCGAAGAACTGAAAAACGATGGGAAAGAAATGTTCCTGAGCCACTGACTTCAAATCGGTAAGCGCATAGATTGCCTCTTAGGATGGATTTTTCCATAGATGCCACGCTTGGTATGCGGGTTGGCAACCGCAGTTTTTTATTATTGTTGCGAGCTTGGAGTTCGAGACAATTAAAAACTACCGAGTGAATTACCAAAATTGACACTAAATATAGAACACTAATTACAATTTAAAGCCACACTAATAACAAAACACAATTGTACTACAGATCACTGTAGTTCGCAGTTGTATCGCTTCGAAGTATTCGCTTGTATCGCCAATTCAATACTCGGTCACGGTATATACCGGCCTTATATAGGGCCTCAGATAGTTTCCAGAATCTTCAACTATAGAAACTTCTAGAATGTTCTTGACTCTCCTAGTTCTGTCACTCGATACTAGAGGGCGCTAGTGGTAACTAGTGTCGCCATGTACCATGTATTAATATATATTTAGAGTTGTTATCTGGAAGATGCTGCTGTCCATATCCTGTTTCAGTTGCCCTCTGTCGCCTCTTACCACACCCTCGGGACGATATGAGGCAATGAATATCTAACAGCGCCACTATTCGGTTACATGATTTAAATGTTTATTTTTTAGAAAATATTATTTGGCGAGGAACACGTTGTTCATACATTTTATGTGTTGCATTGATGCAGTGTCAGATTTTTTTCTGGAAGATGCACTGATTTCTGTATTCCGTGAAGATGTTTATTTACTTAACATAGTTCTTATAGTGCCATTTGGATGTCCAGAAGGTAATTTAATTTAATAATAAAATAATTTGACATAAGTACCGTCTTGTGATCAAATAACATTATTTAATTTGAACTCAATGCATTTACTTCGGCTAAATATTACGTTTATATTATTTAATTACTAATTAATTATTTAATTTACTCTTTATTGTACACCAAGAAAAGATAAAAATATCAAAAAGAAAAAAATAAACAACTATTGAGGGAAATACAAAGGGCGGTCTTATTGCTACATAGCAATCTCTTCCATTCAATCCAGAAGAAGAAATAAATAAAAATAAGAAAATGAACAACGGGTAGGGTGCACTAAAATAAAAAAAAAACAAAAAAAAGGAAATAAAATAGAAAATTAAAAAAGAAGATACAAACTTATGCATTAAAAAGACAACATTCTTCAGGTAGATCAATGACCATAATTAAGCGGAGGAAGCGAAAGGGGTTAGAGAGACAAATAATATTCCATAACCTGTTTCTAGAACACATTTATGGATCGAGCACTTTTAATTGACTGGGATAAGGAGTTCCAAAGCCTTACTCCAAGAACAGAAAATGATTTATCATAATAAGTCGAGGAGTGCACAGGAAAGAAGATTTTCTTATTTTAGATTTTATTATTATTCTTACAAAGGGAGGTAAAGTGTTTACTGGTTTGTAATGAAAATAGAGGAAGAAATTTTACATAAAATCTGCGAGAATTACCGATATTTTATATACCGGTAGTAGCTGTAAAAGTATCGGAAAAAGTTTCTCGCTACTCTTTCACTTTTATAGTTTTCCTACCTATGTGCCTGTTGTCTGTAGAAACCACTGCTGCAGGGTCAGCATGGGCAGTAGACAATTTTATATATAATATTTATATTATATTTAGAAAATGTTTATCCCCTCGCTTTGTTTTATCCACCCTTCGAGCATGGGTATAATATCCACTGTAGATAAAATGGGGGATAGACTTGGACTTAGATTTTTTGTATGAATATAAACTGAAACCATGTCCAATGAACTAGGATAAAATTGTCTCTTTCAAATGTCAAAAAAAAACCATATGTTTTATTTGGCTCCATGTTACGGACGGGGGATACTCGTTATGTCAAACGGGGATATACTTCTGCCCGTTGCCGTGCTTTGGCATAAGGCAAGATAATTGTATCTCTTGTCAGTGGATATAATCGGGGGATAAATTTTTTGTCCCCAGCCCATGCTAGCCGTGCTGGACAGGAACTTTCCCGTTTTAAGGAAGATTTTTTACACTATTAGGTACATGGGGTTGTTTTTTAAAACGACGAATGCGTTGTCTGAGGACTAAATTGGATTTTTTTTATAGAATAAGGGTGACAAACCCCTGTCCATGTACTGCGGTGATTAGTGATTACTTATCATGAGGTGGTCTGCTGACTATCACATTATTGTGATAAAAATGAGAAATAATAACACTTATAACCCTTGTGCGTCTAAAACTTTCTTTAGTAGTAAATTGATTCATCATGCTTTTTATCATATTTTTAGACTGTATAGTTAGGTATTCGACATTCAAAAAACGTAACGTACACAAATATTTGGCTAAAAAAAGTGGTAAAGAAGAAGAAAATGACATAACGGAAATGAGTTGTAACTTTCTTTATACCGCAATGAGACAAGATTTTTGTCCGAAGCTAAAAGTCCGACGGGCTGTGTAAGTATTATTTATACGAAACTGGATTTTGTATCTTTCTGTAGGTACCCCTTAATTAATATAGTTTATACCTATATTAATACGACCGATATTTTGACACACTTAAAGTGTTGTGGAAACGTGAACAAAAGTAACACACTTATGTCCAAATATTCAAACGCTACTCTATTTTAAGACGCCATTAAGTAGGGGAGAGGGGCATAATGGGGACGTTAAGGTAAATACACAGTAAAATAATCAATCCAATGTATTTATTAATTAAAACTAATCACAACACTTTAGTTACTTATTAAACTATCATTTGGCATAGAATTTGGTTATGTAAAAATCATATGACGTTATAATTTTAATTTTTTAACTATAATGAAAACCCCATCGTGCCCCAAGGTAGGGGCAGTATGGGGTACGTATTTATTTTGCGTCACAATACAAGCAGATGTGGATTTCTTCTGTATTGTCGTCGTCTACACCAGCACAAGCTGTATGAGCCCACCGTCCACATAGTTGGCAAGCCAGCCAACCTTCCAAAAACTTTAAATAAGTTTGGTTCACGTCAAGGCAGCACAGGCACATGGTATCCTCATCGGTATTCTCTACACCAGAGGGAGCTTTTTGGTTCTTCTGTTTCTTAGAGTTCTTCTTTAATTTGGGGTCATCTAGATTAGAAAACTTCTTCGTTCTCTTCTTCTTCTTCTGCTTTCTCGTATCACATTAATTCAAACTAACTGTGACACCACGAGATTTAACGACATCTTAAAATTGAGTAGCGTTTGAGTGTTTGGCCATTAACGTGTAGCAGTTTGATGCATTACTTACATATTATAATTATATGGTACGTCGTGTTACATGTTTTTGTCATCTTCATAGCCCGTAAAAGTCAACTGATGAACATGAGCCATTGTAGGGTGGCAATTGTCGAGAGCATTTGATTTAATCGCTACACTTGGCAAGCGGTTTGATGATCGCATCGATATTTGACATCTTGCACCTTTGACGCTACTCCTTCGCCAGTCTGAGTCATTTTGGCCGCGTTCCGACGACACGCACCTGCTACGCGCACGCCACGCGCATCACCACCCGCGTCTAACTCGCTTTGAAATTTGTTGCATATAATTTGAGTCTTATGACAAATCAATAAATCTGGAATTGCATTTATCGACGTTCAACCGCACACGCCTCGCACACGCCACGCGCCCGCCGCGTTCCCGCTTCGCGCTGATCCCGCGCTCACCCCGCACACGCGCTGCACCCGCCCCGGTGCGCCTTGCGCCCGCGCCTTTTATACAATATCAGATTTATTGATTTGTCTTAAGACTCAAATTATATGCAACAAATTTCAAAGTGAGCTAGGCGCGGCTGCTGACGCGCGTGGCGTGCGCGTAGCGGGTGCGTGTCGTCGGAACGCGACCTTACGTTTGGCCTAAGTGAGATGTTTACACCGCTATGTGTCGGATGCTATTAGATTTTCCTGGCGTTTACTAAAGTAGCCTCTGACGGTACCCATAGGACGAAATGAGATGCCCACACTTAGCCATAATTTTATAGAACTTATAAAAAATTATGATTGACATCAAAATAAATATATATTTTAGGGAAGAAGATAACGACGACATAATAGCAATATTGGACGAAAAATGTACGCGTTTAAAAGAAATGTATGGTGACTATTATATCAGCGAAATAATTGGACGTCATCCAGAGATCAATCGTAAAATTATTGTTGCGGATGTCAGTAATAAATATATCTTTAAAACAAGTAATTAGTATCACTAAACATTTAAATAAAACTAATTTAACGGATTTTATCGCGTATATTAACTTATTTTATATTCCCTATACACCTCAGTCCCCCCCGTGACCATGGGTGCTGAAAAGTGCCCGAAACGTCGGGAATATAAAATAAGTTAATATACGCGATAAAATCCGTAAAATTAGTTTTATTTAAATGTGTAGTGTTCGCGTAAATATAAGAAATCGTTAGTAACACTAAAGTTCAAGCTAAATAATTATTCTATGATAACAACAAAATGATGTTTTTAACACAGCAACAAGATCATGCCGTCGGTGTCATGTGCCTCAATGCCGATCTCAACTACGAAAACTTGCAAAATACTTATGAGTTGCATCCATACTACGGACTGAGAAAAGCCACATCAGTGGAAAGAGAACAGAATAAAAGAAGCAACGTATTGCTTAAAACATTCGGGTATTTGGTGTACCAAATTATAAAATTTTTCAGATTTTCAAACGTACCCTACTCATTATATTTGTTAATTTACAGAGAACCGATACTGTATGGTACGTGGGGTCCATTTGATCGTATTTCGAAGCTAAAGTTAAAGACAGAGGAAGACGTACGTATTGATGCATGGTATTGCATTTTTAAATTAAAGTTTCTATTAAAGACGATGACTTGTACATTTGAAAGTTTGGAAGATATCAGAAGTAGTCAACATACTCAATCGTGTATTCGTATGTAGTAGCCAGAACTCTCGAATCCCCCGCTTCTAGAACATTAACTTATCTATTTCAATTACATTATTAAATTCGGCATAAATTATACTTTATAGTTTGAGAAATATATGATCCAAAAGGAACTTCTAATCTAACACTACTATGCCTTATCAGATTCCAATGACTTGATGATTTAGCTGATAAGTCAGGAGTTAAGTCAAAAGCTTGTAGGCTTTAATCTTTAGCATATGCCTGTTCTTAAAAATAATGTATTATAGGCTGTAGTGAAAATATTATTCTCGAATGATGGTTGTAGTGCTTTAGAAGGTTTTTACTGACCATCGTTATGTAAACAAAACGAACTCATAGCATAATTCTTAAAATTAAAGCGTATTTATTATAGTAAGACTATCATAGAAACCTGCATTATTAATAAATCTAACTACACATCTTTTAGGTGCTTGCCCCAGAAAAATATTATCAACGGTTTTCCCTTCGCCCTCGATAATGTCGGTGAAACTTTAAGTAAGGCTCGAAACCTATCTCACGATACTAAAGAGATACCGCAAAATGAACAGCGGCAATAGACGTAGATCCCATCTAGAGCATCCTAAAACCTTTTCTTAAGGCGGGGTAGATGTGGGACACGCAATACCATAGTTTTGATGCCTGAGGCAGGAGCGTGGCTATTACTCATAGAGCGGAGGTATTTGAGCGTTCTAGGTCTTGACCCAGAATCTATATTGCTCATGTACCCACATACAATGCCATATATTTTCTTTTTCCAAAACTCCTCTCGGAAATGACAAGGGACCTGCCAAACAGGATGGTGTTTGTAGACAAAAGTTAACTTTTTACTTCAGGCAGAAGTTAATAAAATATGTGTCCTGTTTTAATATTGTCAACCCATATATTATATTTTGGTAAGTATTTATTTAGCAAATGTCTAATGTTGCAGAGAACATCACATGAAAATATAGCAGTACCAAGATCGACTAAAACTCCGAGCAAAGTTATTTTCAGACACAATTCTGTCACGGAAAGTAGTTTTGATCGTGTTTATTTTAAAAAGGAAATATCTGATGACTACAGTAATAAAATTTACAGAACATCCACCATGTCAAATTTATCGGTAGCTAACCTGCTTGATGAAGATCCTTTCGATTATGAAATTGTTAACATTGATTCTAAATTATTAACAGTCCCTCGTGTTTTGTCTACTGATTTTATGTACTCGTAAGTCAACAAACATATATTTAATCAAATAAAAATAACACCTTGCGATCCTATTAATTGTATAGATATTTAGATAAGCTTAAGCCGAACGTTCACCGCAAACTAAACTAATAGGCCTATTACACTACGCAGTATCAAGACAGTCTTATTAAGACGTCTTAAAGTCTAATTAGACAAGCTCGCTATTACACCGCCCTGAATACCGCATGCTAAATCATTTGCAAGGCCTACGTAGCCGGTGACGGTTGTGGCGGTGTCATGGGAAGACTTTCAAAGCACCAGAAAATCGCCATAGGTCTTGCCGCGTCTATTACTTGGAGTACAAGAAAGAAAAGAAATATATGGTTGAAGGAGTATTTACTGTTACGGGAAAAAATTTCATACTTGGTAGAGCCATGCTGCAGCTATATTAGTAGTATAGTTGTAGCACGAATGGCTCGGCTCGATCGGGGATGGACCACGCTCTCACAGAATACCAGCGTAAAATAGCAACTTAACGCTGCTGTGTTTAATATGGTGAGTGTAGAGAACTGGAGACCCTTTTTACTGGAAAGTAGGCATTCCATCTTAGTCCTCACGGGTGACAACGCATTTGCATTTTGATTCGTAATTGAGAAAAGATGTAGATATCTATAAGCTACAGCAACTACTTACCATCAGGTGGACTGTGTGCTCGTTTGTTACCCTTATCGTAAAAGAGAAGGAAGATACGCTTCTTTTTGTTTTCACTGTAGCCTTTTCATCGTAGTTTTTATAAATTGCTAACAACACCCTGAATCCTTCTGCACGAAGTGATTGGTTTAAATAATCTTTGTGATTTTTCTGCCATAAATATGGCATGTCTTTGTTTTTTAGGATAGCGTGATAAACGAGCACATTGTCCACCTGATGGTAAGTGGTTGCTGTGACCCATAGACATCTACATTTATCCTCAATGAAAAATCAAAATGCAGATGCGTCGTCACCCGTGAGGACTAAGATGGAATGCCTTTTTTCCAGTAAAATGGGTCTCCGGTTCTCTACACTCACCATACGAAACACAGCAGAATGAATCTGCCATTTTACGCTGGTATTCTGTGAGAGTGTGGTCTTTCCCCGGTCGACCCGACCCATTCGTGCTACAACTAATACTACTAATATAGCTGCAGCATGGCTCTACCACGTATAACGTTACGTTACACACCAATAAGATTAAAAATCACTTCCTTTTCTTTTGAGCAAGACATTGTGCACGCCACAGCAAACAAAAACGTGACTTCACTCTGCTGCTGCCGCGCGCTCACTAAACGGTCTAAGTGTGCTAAGTCTAATTACACCACGCGATATTCAGCAAGAAAGCAAGCAAGCACGGCCGAACCTACTCGGTCCGTCTAATTAGACAGACTAACTTGCTTACTTTTATTACACTACGCTAAATCTTAGTAAGACTGTCTTGATACTGCATAGTGTAATAGGCCTTTAACATAGTTTATGTTAGCTTGCACAGCCAAGTTAGTTTATCATACACGTACTTCCACCGCAAACTATGCCAGCTAAGGTAGGTAAAATAGCCAAACCAAGTCAAACTAACTTAGTTGTATAGGCCGATCCGAAAGCGCCTCTTACCCTCTTACCTTACCCCTCTGGCGCCTTTCGTTTAAGCCGAACGTCTGCAAACTTAGAAAACTTAGTTTATCTTAGCTCGCATAGCTGAGCCAGTTTTTCATACATACATTAGCTTAGCTGGAATAGTTTGCAGTGGACGCACATGTATGAAAAACTGGCTCAGCTATGCGAGTTTAGATAAACTAAGTTAGTTTAGTTTGCGGTGGACGTTCGGCTTTATTGTTGTTTGTTTTAGCTTATTTTTCGGTGGACGTGTAACGATTTTCCAGGTTAGCTTAACTTAGTTCGCTGAGCCTAGTTTTTACATAGTTTAGTTCGCAGTGGACGTTCGGCTTTATACTTTGTAAATAATGACTTCGTGATAAAATTTTTAGGCCAAAACTAGCTCAAACCGCAAGAAGATCAAGAATGAGTGAATTTAGAAACAAATTAAAAAGTACGCTTTTGTTTGTAAATGTTAAGTTAAATTCAACATTTTTAAATACATAAGTAATTTTATATTCTAATAATATTTATTTCAGAAAGAACATCTTCGTTGAAATCAACGCACGTTGATGAACTAAATAAAGTTAAATATCATGGAGAGCCGAATGCATTTATCATTGAATTATTTGGTCTTCGTGATGATATTGAGTATATGTTCGTATAAATTATTTAAGTTACGTGGAATTTTCATGCTCCAGCTAAATAGTTATAGCACGAATTGGATACCTTCGTAAAATAGCAATTTAACACTGCTATATTTCATATGGTGAGTGTAGAGACCCTTTTTACTGGAAACGAGGCGTTCGATCTTAGTCCTCAGGCTGACAACGGTTCTGGTTTTTGATTATTAATATAGGATAAATGTAAATGTCTGTCTATGCCACAGCATCCACTTACCATCAGATGGACTGTGTAATTTGTCACCCTTATATTATAAAAAATATCCCTGAACAACTGAATGAACAGTAATGATGAGTAAAAAAATTGACAACGAGCTCAAGAAAAATCCATAGGATTAAAAGTCATAATATATTAGTTCATGCTACAACTAATACAGCTGCTGCGGGGATACTAATATTAATTATTGTCATATAAAGTTTTCATCGGTTACTTTTTGTTGAATTGGGTAACTTTACTCTCCGAACGGGTTTCCGCCTTGTCGTGGCAGAAGAGTAGCCATGGCTTAGTCACCCACAGTCAGGTGAACAAAGAGGAACCACCTTGGCTGGCCAGAGGTGTTTTGTGTGAGTGCGTTTGACGAGCACACTTTGGATGTGTGTTGGTCAGCTGCGGCGAGAGGGATAACCTCTTCCCTAAGCGCTGCAGCCGAGGGGGTGTCGCGGGGGAATAGGAGTGTTAGTATGACGATGGGGCCACTCGACCAATCCTCCACAAACCTTGCGGAGCCGCAGTGTTGATGTGATGGTAGTGGGGCCGCGGGGGGAGAGGAGGGTTCGGTATTGTCAGGCGCCACTTTTCCTACCCTCTGCGGCTGATTCTTGGATGGCGGCAGAGCCATAGACCAGATCCACCGCTGGGGTCGGGAAGGATGGTGCTTCCGAGTGCTTGTCGTTCCTGGTCACATGGCCATCGGGCACAGTATTCCTTTACGTAGGTGAAGTTGGAGACCGTGAAGGAAGGCGCGCCTTGTGTTTTGGTGCGCCTTATCTGAGAAGGAGAAGGGCGAGGGATAGTCCTCTCCCGAGAAGGGGAAAGCCGGCGCTGGTGGGGTCGCGAATGTGTGCGAAAGTGTTCCCATGGCCCTGTCAATATCCGGCGATGGTGAAACACCATGACGTTTTATTAGGTGGGAGCCCGACATAACTCGTCCTTGCCCCCATAAGGCTTGTGTGTGTAGGCATTTCACCATATAAAAATGCCAATAACTTTATATAATGTATTTTTGGCCGACTTTTGGTCACGGTAACAACTTTTGAATTATCTTCTACTTCTTTAGCCCATAATAACTTACGGCAGGATAGGGAATTCTCCTGTTGTTAGGAAGGTTTGCCATAATCATCTAGGTTGGTACTTTGATATTACTCTCAGTCGTCAATCTAGGTACTCCACATCGTGTGTAGTGAACCGAATAGATTCCAACCCAGGACCCGTTTCATAACAGCTTAGTACCTACTATGAATACTAGGCAACGCGGTCCAATGGTTTAATGTAATGTATGGATATACAAAACTTTCTTGTTACTGTTTTTCAGACAAGCGTTCGATCTACTTGAAGGGGCATTCGAGGCTATGAAAGTGTACGACTATTGTATAATTCGTGTCCCGTGTTTTGAAAAGAGCTTTCCACTATTGCAATATTTTTGTGTAAGTTTGTTAATGTCACTTAGCATACGGCCTCAGTAAAAAGTGGTCGGAAAGGAGTGTGGGGTACCGACGCGTTTGGCATACACGTTTTGTGGTCACCACTCAGGAGACTATAATAGAAGAACGAGAAGTTCTCTTGCACGACGCATCTTTACTCCAGCAAACGCTATTTACTAAGGCCTTAATTTTAATGCAGAAATTAAGTACCCACTCTGTCCGAGCGTGCAGCGGGGCATCCAATATGTCGTTCAAAGGGTTAAAACTAGTTAATCGCCTTATGCTGCGCCACGTCGCATGTCTGGCCTAGAATAACTAAGCAACGAGCTTTAGGCTAACGTCTAGCGATGCGGGATATTCAACGTACATTTTGGGCGGCGGAACACTAATACTAGAGCGTGTCTGTACCACTTCAGACCCCATTCTGTAAAATGAATCAATATTTAAGGTATCACTTGAATTTTATTTGTAATTGAGTGTTATTTTACAGTTCGTTCCAACTAAGCCCAATGTTTGCAGTAAATATGCTCTGTATATTGCACATAGAAACGCTGTGTTAAGGTTAGTCGTTTTTTTTATATTATGACTTATTTTTAATGAAAGTTAACGCTTCCAAGACGGAGAGATTTGTCAGCTCCGGTTGTAGTTATACTTATGTGTTTCAATGCTAGGTATGGTCTCGGGTTGTCCTGGTTCGGGCCAAAATTAGTTATCGAGTTTTTTTAGCAAGAAATTCTTACTAGGCCGGAGTCAGAAGTCAGGTTCATTTCAGTGCCTCGACTTGTGCCTAGTTTAGTACCAATTCTGTGATTTCTGGTTGCCTGATACTACTGAAACAAAAATATATAATAGTTTTTTAGTTCAACTGTGTTTGCGCATACAAAATAGGGCACTATACCTACTTGTAATTATGGCTTGTCTCCGATGAGACCAGCCTAACTAAAGTAGGAAGGCACTGATGACAACTTCCATATACTTTATAGAGTAGGACTACTGAGAACTTTCTTCCCCAGTAGTCTTACCAGTAAGGCCTATTTGGTTAGAATAACTAATCTTATTTGTAAGACTTTGGGGAATGCACCACGCCACTAAGGTAATTACTTCAAAAACAACCTTACTTATAAGACCACTAGGAAGAAAAACTCAGTAGTCTTAACAGTAAGACTACCTAGGCTTCTTGGTAAGACTACTGGAAACTTTGTCACTTAATTTAAGCCTATTGTTGAGATCAAGGGCTTTAAATTATTTGATTAATTATTAGATAATTGATTGATAACATGAAAGGTTTATTAAATTTACTAATTGAGCTTCTTAGGTATTAAATTATTAATTATTATTATATATTATTATTATTTTTTCTTATTCTACATCGTTGTTTGGTGATTTTGGTGTTTTAAGTCAGTAGTTTTTTTTTTGTAGGGATCTAGGACTTTACGATGAAATTAAGTTATAGGGGTTCCATTGTTATTATTATATAGTTGTGTAGTTGTGTAGTTATTATATATCATTTACCAGACTTCACTGTCCACTTCAACATGATAAGTTTAAGTAATTGTAACTGATAATAACGCATCAGGATAAGAGATTTTTTTTCAAAAACTTCTCATTCCAAAATCCCTGAGATCGATTTTCCATGATGCTTAATTAATTCAATTTATTTGTGTGAATATTATGGCCTACTATTGTAATGTAAGTCTTGCAGCGTTAGAAATCGTAAAAGTGTCTGCGAATGTCGTATCTCATACAAAGGTTTTGTATGAAGCCCCACATTCGTAATGTTAAGGTAATTAATCATTAGCGGGGGTTTACAGCCTCTGTTAATTGTTTTAAATAACTTATTGTAAGTTGATATCCTTTAGCAAACTTCGTGTTCGCAAAGCAGAATTAATAGACGTACCACTGATAGCTGAACTCTTGAATACGTTGGAGGCGAAGGAGACAATGTGGACTGTGGAGAATTCAGTTAAGAAGAAGAACGAGGAGCGAATATTTATACTTAAGAGCGGGTCGTCTATAGTTGGTGTCGGAGTATTAGAGTAAGTTAAGATTAAGTAGCAAAGATCAATATGCTACTTTTGAGATTTACAGCTTCTGCAATAATAAGAAAACAATGGTTTCCTATTTTTGTCTCCAAACTTCTTTTTATATTTTTTTGTTTTAACTTTCCCGTATTGAAGAAGGTAAAACATGCGATTATCCAAAGTCCTACCATTTTACCGACGGCAACTGACCGTTAAAGATTCGCTTCGTCACTTTGGATACGGTTGTATCACCTATTTTATTGAAGGTTACTCTTACGATACATATAAGGTAATACGCAGTGATGAATATAAATAAAGTTACATGTTAACAACGCTAATATTTAATATTATCTCTATAATAATATAATATGTAAATATTTCTATAATAATAATTTAAATTATATATATCTAAAATAAAATTAAAAATATATCTAATAATATTGCGTCATATTCCAGGCCAACAGAACAGCTAGATTTCATACAAACAAAATACAATCTAGATTCGTATCATGTACATAAATACCACTACAGAGCACAGGGAATTTATGCTGGATTTAGCACTTTGAAAACAGTCCTTATTTATCCCGTCTTTGAAGCACATTTCAGATTCTTTGTTCGTGAAATGATGAGATTATCTGAATGCTACAACCTGGTGTGGTTAACTGCGTACAGAAATAAATGGGTAAGTACCCCTTCTTTTCGTAACGTTTTACGTGGTAAAGCCACACAGCTATATTATGGTTGTAGTATGAATGGCTCGACTGTGTTAGGACCACATTCTCACAGAATACGAAGCTGTGTTTCATATGGTGAGTGTAGAGAAACGGAGATCCTTTTTACTAGAAACGTGGCCTTCCAATTCAGTCCTAAGGGGAGATGATAATGCATCTGCATTTTGATTCATAATTGAGGATAAATGTAGATGTCTATGGGTCACAGTATCCACTTAACGTCAAGTAGACTCGTTTGTCACCCTTATTCTATAAAATAAACCACACGCATCTACAGAGTTTTAAATTATTTCTTGCATGTTCGTCGTCAGTGTGGATATTTTACGCCAGGCTTTATACCTGAAGTTTATGTTTGTTTGTTGTTTTGTGTTGGATCCTCTTAAAAGCTAAGACGTTAGGGGTTGCAACCTACCTTGCCATTATTGCTTGACGTTGGTGGCAGGATCCAGTAACAATAACACAGACCTACATGTTATTTGTTTCGGTGTCCAACCTTGTATTAAAAAGAAAACATGGTTGAATTGTATACCGTGAAAACCGTTAAACCGATCATTGACCCCCTGTGACCATGGGTGCTGGAAAGTGCTCGAAACGTCAGGAATATAAAATAAGTTAATATACGCGACAAAATCCGTAAAATTAGTTTTATTTAAACCGATCATGCTATCATTTTGTTGATTTTGTAAATTATGTTGGTTTTGCTAGGGTCTAGAATTTGTGCACATGACCCGTGACACGAGGCCATAAAGTTTAGAGTTAATACTAAAGTTAAGTGATGCACTTGTCAAGTTAAAGTTACTTACAGCCTATGCACGTCTGACTGCTAGACACACGCCCTCTCTAATTTTTAAAAGGGTTATGTAGTTCGGGCTGTTCCTGTGCATGTACTCCTTATGTTCTTGAAATAATTTATTTCTCCGACATGTAAGTTTCCCCAAGATGTTTTCCTTCACTATCAAGCACGGCCTTTGATATTTACGGCGAGCGCTTAGTCTCTGAGCTACTATTTGTAGTCTTCATAAATGTAATGAAGTGATAACTATTAACTTTGCTTCTACTTCCAGGCAGCACACAAGATCAATTCAGTAGCAACTGCGATGATTCCCTTGTTACCTAGAAAGTCTGAAGACGATTGCACGTCTGAAAGTGAACCTAAAAGAAGATGTGTTTTTTCAAATACTTTGTAAGTAATAATAAATGTAATTAATAGTAATTAATGTAATAATTATTATATTATGTTGCCTTTCATTTCATTTACTTTATTGCAAAATAATCGATGGAATAGAAAACAAAAAAGTGATCCAAGCTGTTTCTTAAATAAGTTTTATAAGACTTTTTTAACTGTATAATATTACTTTGTAAAAAAGTCTCGCTGGATTTCTTGCTGGTACTTCTCAGGATATGTTTTTTTTTCGAATCCATGGTAAATGTAAAAAAAAACTACAAGAGTAATTTATAATCAATATTGAATAAGAAATATTCTATTCTAATAAAATAAAGCTACATGTGTCTACTTTATGAGGTATCAAAATGACTGACCGCAACCACGCTGCAGCTATATTATGAGTATGGTTGCAGTTATAGGTCGGTTCGACCTGGGTAGCAACTTAATGCTGCTTTGATTTTGTTCCCTATTATTCCGTAAGGTATTCAATTCTAGTCCTCAGGGGTGACAACACATTTACATTTGTTCGAGGATAGATTCGATTAGTCTATTGGCCAAATAATCGACTTATTAACATCAGGTGGGCTGTGTGTTCGTTTGTAACCCTTGCTTTATAAAAGACTGTTCTAACTGAGAACTTACACACTTATATACTTACACGAGTCGTGGAAACGTAAACATTAAAATTATAACAGCTGATATCTTGGATTTGTATTAATATTAACTTTTTGCTAACCCATCCCACAATATACTGAGTAATCATTATTTTCTGTTCATTTCATTAACTTATTCATTTTATAGAGAAGCATTCAGCACCTGGTTCATAAGTAAGAAGTTCACGTCATTGCCTAAAGCTAACGTGGACACCAGGATAGTGATTGTTGGAGCGTCTAGAACTGCAATGGCTTTTCTTAATGCTCTGTTATTCGGGTAAATAGCTCTTATAAAAATTTTAATAAATTCGAAAGATTAAATTGAATTGTGTAGTTAAAATTGTGAGTTACAACATTATTTAATTTAAAAAGTTTTAATAATTTGTTGTTTTTCTATTATTTGTCAGTTAGATTTTTAGTATTTACAAATATATAGGGTTATTTTGCAATAACCGGCCAAATTTGCAGAGAAGGGTCAGAATAAGTAATATACGCAAATGGTGAAGAAGAATTAATTAAAAAAAAATCTCTGCCCTTTTTATCTTTTAAGTTCAAAATGCGCGGTAATGCATTATATTAACTGATTTTACCGTGCACTCATACATTCGTAAGGGTCGATCGGTTGGCAAAAACGTTGTTGCCCATAAAACAAATTCAATTTAGGATAATTTCAAATAAAAGTAGAAACCTCACTTACGCCTATTTTCAAAAACTGCAATAATGGTATATCATAATTTTATATATTTGAAATTAAGTTTAAAATTTGGCTACATACTCTTTGAAAAATAACCCTGTATATGTATATGAGATGATTAGTTGACTATAGTAACTATTAAAATTTAATTTTAATGATGATATTAGTTTAAGGACTTAGTATTTTTATTTTAGGTATTTGTTATCAGTTATATGCCATTTGATGCTTCTTTTAGCACACGAGTAGTCCGAGTTTATGTTGAGAATGAGAAGTCGCGGCTGGTTACAGTCTTGTGCGGTATTTCGGTTTAGCCTATTATTTATTCTGTGTCGTAACCGCCATCGAATCTGTAACTTTTTTATTTTCTGAAGTTAGTTAAAAAGTTTATTTGTAGTATCTTTCCGATACTACAAATAAACATAATTATTCTAAAAAACAGCATTCTACGGTCGATATGAATAAAGACGGCTTACCATCGGATTGGAACATAATGGCAGATATGATATATCTTTGCAATTTTTTATAGGATACACGTCACAAACGAGTACACAGTCCACCTGATGGTAAAAGGTTGCTGCCGCCCATAGAAATCTACATCTATCCTCGATTGTGCCGCCACGAGAAATTTCCTAGTGCATAGCTGTAGTTTTTTGTTTAAAAAAAATCAGTACACGACACGGTGCGACGGTGGTGCGCTACCCGAGGGACTTCTTTAGATGAGGGGGACAAGGATATATATCACCTAGTTGATCAGATAACATAAGATCATTTCAGTTTTTTTAACTTTCAGCGACTCGTGCACATACTTATCATTTACTAACGTCACACTTATATCGCCTAACGGTTTGCCCTACGTCAGACACACAAATGGGCTCATTGAGAAGATGTTCCTTAAATGCCGCTCTAACACTAACAAATATTTAAAAAGTGTGCCGTATACCTACTATGTGAACATTGTACAGGGAACCATGACGGAGATTAACAGGTGGTGTACTTTAGAATTTTACTGTAGCAATATTAAGAACGGAAGTTCTAATTTGACAAAACTGATTTGTTTAAAACGAAATAAATGTACGTAGCTTGGAATGTATTTTAGGTGCTTATGTATCTGAATGTAAAGTGAAATATGCGAATCTTTTCACGTCACATCTTTTCGCTGTATATGCATCACGGTAATGAGGAAGTTCTGACTGACACACTAATAGCGGAAAATCTCTCTGACATTCTGTACTGAGCCCACACTCTTCATAAGCGTTATTGCTATAGGTAAAATTAGCAGAGCAAGAATTATGGCACCGCGCTTCCCAAACAAATAATAATAATAATAATTTTTATATTAAATGTCTTTCTTGTCTCTGCAACGTAGTAGATGCACTGTGTTAGAAATAGGTGAGAGTTTGGTATCAATGCAGACGGAGCCCTATGCAAAAAGGGACTGCTACAACCTAGTGAATATATTCGTAGTATCTATCAAACTATCTCTTTTTATTCGTCATCTATCTTAATAGTCGTAGAACCAGTTTTCGTTTAAATGTTTTCCATCCATTCCATCCATTACAGCCTATAAAAGTCCACTGCTCAACATATGCCTCCCTCATAGATTGTCTCATGTGGATTTTGCCATAGTTGCCACGCTTGGCAAGCGGGTTGGCAACCGCAGTTTCATTTTGCCCCTGTCGCGATGACACCCTCGTGACGATATGGGGTAGTGGATGTTCTCTTACACCGCCGTTACTCCGTTAAATATTTTATGGAGTTTGAATAAAAAATTGACAATAAAAAAGAAAATTTTATTACGAACAGAAAACTGGTGAAAGACATTAAAAGTAGGTGACTTATTAAAAACATGTAACGTGTCTTTGTTTCTACTTCTAACCAATGTGTGGCCTTATGTTTCAACTTCTAACCAATTCCGTTGCCAAACGTTTGTGAATACGAATACAAAACAACTTTTGTATGTACAATAAAAAATATAATCACTCCTTTTTAACAAGTAACATAGTGATGATGATATAAATTATCATCATCATTACAATTTATCGTGGACGAGTCCACTGATGAACGTAAGCCAAATGTATGTATTGGATATTTGGATTAAAAATCATACACACATACGCACACATTCATGCAATCACGCTCACACACACACACACACACACACACACACACACACACACAAAATACATACATACACTCACACATTGAACTACATTTTTGTGACTACACGTAAATATATGTAATAAAAAAATATATGTATATATTTAGTGTCAATCATAATTTACATACTTATGATAAAGATAAGTTGTATTTGTTATCTAATTCTTCATTTATACTCGTAAATACCACAAATATGATATGGAAGAGTGGCTCCTTCTGACACAGGTGCAAATGCACTTAAAAGAATGAGTCAACCTATGTTCTAGATTTAAAACAAACTTTGTTAAAAAAATAAAATTTTATTATTTTATTAATATTATGTATACCATAAAGTACGGTCCTAAGATTATGGTAATATGATTATGATTATAATAACGATAATGTAAATATATGTATTTAGCTTTTTCAATGTTTATTAAAAGCATTTTTGATGGATTCTAAAAATTAAGAAGTATCAAATCAGCTGCAATATTTGTTCAAAATAGGTATAATTCCAAAAAACATTATTATTGTTCGATATTCTATTGCAGACAAGGAAAGTTTGTAACTTTGGCGAATGGAGGTAAAGTTCCTTATGACCTGCTCTTCCTGTTGTTTGGAAAACAATATCAACATCCTTACTATATGAAAATAATTCAGAATCGAGATGACGAAATGAAGTAAGTGTTCAGTTTGAAATCTTTTAAATAGCATTGCCTTGCGGCAGTAGATTTAAGTGAAGAGAACGGCACTCGCTGTCAGTGTATTTCCCATGCGTAAAATTGAGGAATATGCAATAAGTTTATGTAGAATAAAAATGTAATTTCCAAATACTTTTATTTTAATTATGGAAAATATGTCGGTTGCAGTATCACAAATGCAATTGTGAATAATCACAATATATTCATAAATGTCTGTTCTTTACAAAAAACGGATTCACTTGTAATTTAAACCCTGGACCAATCATGAACTGTTCAAAACGATTAGTTATTTTTTATTAATGTGTGAGAGCCATGCTCCAACTATATTATGGCTGCAGTACAAATGAGTTGGAACGAGCGGGTAAGGACCATGCGCTCACAGAATATCAATGGAAAATAGCTTTTGATTATTAGTGGAGGATTAATATAGGTTGCGCTACACCATCCTTCTATAAACTTACCTCACTTAGGTGGACTGTGTGCTCATTTGCCACTATTCTATAAAAAAATGATGCAACAATGAATACCGTATACCTCTATCTAAATACAGTAGAATCCGTTTATTATGACTCTGCCTATTTTGACCAACCGCTTATTATGAAGTAATTACCCAGCGAAGTTTGGTTTTCATAAAAAATCCTTTATAACAAAGTCGGATATACGAGTAATGACTTCGCATATAGTGACATGTCGCTTATTGTGACCCATTTTTAATAAATTGTGTCCGGTTATAGTGACCGACATGATTCTTAACACTTTCGGCAGTGTTCGGGAGAGGCACGTAATGGCGCGTCTCCACCAAAGTTTTGTTGTCAACACAACATTTGCCAAGCAAATTTTCTGTCAACAAGCGTCTCCACCGAGGGAACAAATGTCGTCAACAAGCGTATTCCTTTGATGTTGCCGCCGAAAATGGAAACATGTTTTATTGTGTTGACAACAAAACTTTGGTGGGGACGCGGCTTAATAACCGACGACGTCTGGCGCGTGCATGGCTTTTATTTGTTTTGAGTCGCAGTGGGTAATTGATAGTTAAAGGTCACGCATTGTTTGTTAGTGATTTGTAAAAAAAATTACATCTCAACGTCGTCGTAAAGCATTTACGATTGAGGAGAAAAGTGTAATAATATGCAGATTAGAAAATGGAGAATCCAACTAATCTCTCGCAAGGGAATTTGGGGTTGGTCATTCGACAATCTCAATGATTTTCAAATGTTTTGAAACCGAAAGCGTTAATTTAGTGGTTCAAAATCATGAGAAACTAAACAATACCTGTCAGCGGCCCTATGTTTTGGTATTCTTGATTTCAAATGTTCTGCGAGCTGGATAAGTCGTTTTAAAGTTCGACATAACATTGTAGCGGGAAAAATTGTCGGTGAATCTGTGTCTGTTGATCAAAATTCAACAACAAACTTGACTATTTTACAAATTTATGCCGGCCAGAAAAATTTGAAAAATGGCTTCGAGGTTGGGATCACGAATGAAAAAATACATTACATATGTACTTATTACGTACAATTTTTATTTTTATTTATCTCTATATTGTTTCTATCTATTAAAATAAATACATACTAACAAAAACAGGAGATTTATTTTCGACAAAATGCTTTGTATGACATCCGCTTAGTATGACGTGTTTGTTATTTCCCTTCGATGCCATTATAAACGGATTCCACTGAATGTTTAAAGGAAGACCGGAAATTCTTCCGGTCTACTCCTATGGCTAGTCTTACGGTAGATCATAATAGTTAAAATATTCCATATTTCAGGTCAAAGAAAGTTCCTTTATATACACCTTTAGATGTTCCCAAATGCAACATAAAGAAATTTACTGGCAGATACACACCCGACAATGTATTTATTATCAACAACCTTGCTGATGCCAAAAAAGCGCTTAAATATGTCAAGAACAACTTGCTATGTTTCGATACATGTAAGTGTATGAAATCATAAAATTTTACTTAATATCTATAAATAATTTAAAAAAAGAAAAACTGTAACAAAAGACGTGTATTTTTGTAAAAATCTGCATTAGATTGTTGAAGCTTTGCTGCATTAGACTAGCTTACTATTGTAATTTAGGATTCACCAAAAACATAAATGTCAAATGATCAAATGTACAAACTATTTTCGGGGTTATCGACTCCACCGGTAAATGAGCGAGTGCCAAGCGCCATGACAGATGCTTAAGGCACTACTCCCCCCCTCCCCCCCCAGACGAGGAATCGATTAGCTATCGACTATTTTCTCGCTCAAGAAACGAACAATACATAGATCCCGTGTCAATAAAAGAGATAAATACGAGTATATTAATGTGATCGCTGTCTACTCGCACTGCTGAGCCCAACCAGCAGTCATTTTACTCTACAGTGCGTATCTGAGTGCACTCTCTTATAGCCCAGCGATAAAACCATTCGGAACTACTCTTCTTAGTCGCTTCTCGCTGCTCGCCAACTCTTATCTAGTTTCTAGCTTTACTCGCTTCTCGTTCATCGTTGGCAGTGGGACAAGTGCCTAAATCATAGGATCTGTGGGAATGTTTTTGGAACTGCTATGTAGCTTAGCGTCCGTTCAGATTTAAAAAAATTGTCATTGGTACCGAACTTGCTGCCATTTCTACATTTATTGGTGGGATAACATTATTTTCTAACAATAATGTAAACCTAAATAATTACGAGATTAGAGATCTATCTAGCATTTTTAAATCCGTTTGCGCTTCACTGTTTTCCCTTTAAGAATTAATGCGGCTAGTTTCAAGCGCTTGTTCAAGTTACAGTACTTGGAATTAATCAATTACTTTGCCGACACTTTTTCAAAACCCAATATCGATATTTCAAGTTTAGTACCTACCTTGATGCCGTATATCAAGTTTCTAAGTAACCTAGACGTGGCTTAGGTTTTTGACTCAAAACACAAACACTCACTCACGCCTGTCACCCAGAGGGGTAGGCAGAGATTACGGACTTCCATTTGGCGGGATCCTGACACACCTCTTTCGCCTCCTTTACATCCATATATCTACGCATACACGCTCGTCGGTTAAGGGTACTCCTAATCTGGCCCATTTTTAATGTATCACCGATTTGGTCGATAAACCTTCGTCTAGGGCGTCCCTTCCCGACACTGCCGTTCACTTCTGCAACATAAATTTGCTTTGTCACTCTTTCCTCGTTCATTCTTTCTACATTACCAAACCACCGAAGCATTCCTTTCTTAATCCTTGTCACAGCATCATCTTGCAAACCACACTTTTCTCTTATCACACTATTTCTCACCCTGTCATTCAGATTCAGCCCTAGCATACTCCTTAAGGAACGCATTTCCACAGCATTTATTCTACTCTCATGCTTCTTCTGCCAGACCCAACTTTCACTACCATACATTAAAGTAGGGACTAACACAGCATTATGAATTGCCATACGTGCCTTATTTGACACATTCTGACTCCTCATAATAGCGTGTAGAGCACCATTCACTCTATTTCCTGCGTTCACTCGTCGTTCTATATCCTTATCATATCTACCATCCCTGCTAAATAAACATCCCAAATATACAAACTCATCCACTTGCTCAATCTACTCCCCTAGTATTCTTATTTCACATAAAGTTTTACTTTCTTCTCTTTTAAAAACCATCACTTTCGTCTTACTTGCGTTCACTTTCATACCCCTTTCTTTCAATGACCAGTTTATTAAAGTAACCATCATTTGCAACTCGGCGGCCGATGATGCAAATATGACTTGATCATCGGCGTACAAAAGGCATTTGATGGTTAGCTCATCCATTCTCAACCCACATTATTTACTTTCAAAGTTTGCAAACAACTGTCCATAAATAGGTTAAACAGCCACGGGGAAGCCACACATCCCAGTCTGTCACCTTTATGAATGCCAAACCTGTCCGCGTAGACCCCGTTGATCCTGACACAAGCACTAGAGTCCCTATAAAGAGACCATAATGCCTGTATCAAGCCAGCGCTCAACCCAAATGAGTTAAGTGTTTGCCATAACACGTTCCTGTCCACTCTGTAATAAGACTTTTCCAAGTCCATGAACGCACAAAAAACTTTCTGGTTTTTGACCAAAAACTTCTCCGCAATCATGCGCATGGAAAAGACTTGATCCGTACACCCCATCCTCTTTCTAATTCCAGCTTGCACATCCCAAATTTTTCCACCAGTTTCTTCCATATCTCTTTTAATTAACACCTTAGCATACAGTTTACCCACAATGCTAAGCAAGCTGATACCACGGTAGTTTTTACAGTCCTGCTGCGAGCCCTTTCCCTTATATATTGGGAATATAACGGCTTTGCACCAGTCTTCAGTTCCCAACATAAATTAAACAAGGTGCATAGCAGGCCTGCAACCACACCCTCTCTAGCCCTTAGCATTTCAAGTGATATTCTATCATATCCGGCTGCCTTACCTGCTTTCATGCTTTTAATTGCTTTCATTATTTCTTCTACACTTATCTCCCTACCTCTCTCCACTTCTTCCGGAATTTCTATTTCACTTACTTCAGATGACTCTTCACTCTTAAACAAGCTTTCAAAGTATTCCTTCCATCTCTTTAAATTCGAAACTTCATCATTCAGCATGCAGCATTTTAATATTTGCCTGGAAGTTATCAGGTATCCTTCTATCATTCTTATCCATCCTTTCTTGCTTTTTATTTTCAACAACTTCTTCTACTCTCTTATTTATACGTCTAAAGTCTGCTTTTTTTATTTCAATCTCATCATTCATACCGCTAGAACTACCAGCTTTGGTTGCTAGTAAATCTAGCCATGCTCTCTTCTTTGGTTTTTGACGAGTGATAAAATGGCACTTTCGAACCTTAGTCATTAGGTATGTGAAATTACAACTAGTAGTTTTATTGTGGGTTTGAAAATGGCTATAAATCGTGTCCAGATATACATACTGCCGATGAGTCGCTCCTTTCTTTTCCGAACTGGCTTGACACACTACCGCGTGTTTATATTTGCATTACTGTCTCGTAATTATTCAATCTGTTCTTTTATTTTCGAATCTTATTGAAGACAGTGATACTACCGCCACATTTCTACTATAATATTCTAATATAGTATTCTACTATGATAATACAAAAATAATATTGTGATTTAACTGCGAAATGATATTATTTTTGTTTTGTGAAACTCAGGGTGGAAGACGCTGACGGCTGTAACATAGTTTATACTAGTACAGCCGTTAACGCTAACTGCTTCGAAATGTAGTTTTGTAATTAAATATGTACTATACACAAGTATATATTTGTCAAATTGAGAGTCTAATAAAATTATTATTAGGTATTTAAATAGTTTTCTGATCTCGTTGGGCTGTGTAAATATATAAATGAAAATGATAAATATACATAAATATCAATAACAAAATATAAATAAATAAATATTATTATTATTATTTCGTCCAGTGGGTGTCGTTAAATATAGTAACCACGGCCGGAGGACCCAAAAAAAAACCAAAATTGTTTTAATAAATTCCATAAAAATTAATTCTACAATTAAACTTATGATAATTAATATATCTGTAATAATTCATAATATATCTGTATAAATAGGAGTTGTTATGGCTCGCCGCTCACTTAGCGGTCAGCCACCGCAGTCTAGATTACCTGAAGATGCCTCGTGTAGAGGCGAAACACGTGTCGTATTGTCGTCAGTGGTGTGTCTTTCCTAGTGTAGTGATGTTGGAAGTAGTGGTGCTGGGATTAGTGGTGACGGTGGTAGTGCATGCAATTGAGGGAGGGCAGGAGGTGCTCTTCAAACTAGGTAAGACACATCATTTTATTTTATCGAGTGGATTTACGCGAAGTAATTTTTTACCAACTTTAATTAAACTTAAGTCTAAGTCTGGATCGATGCTAGATACAGAATGGTATCGATTTGATTCTAATGCAAAAAAAATGTTGCAATCCGGTAAACGCCGTCCGTAAAAGACGTCAATCGGGGTACAGAGTTAGCAGCGGTGATCACGTTGCGTCCGGGTTGCGACACATGTGGGCAGCGTCAGCAGGTACTGTATCGAGGTCATCGCTTATTGCAAATTATTAGGAAGAACTTGATATAACACGTTAGTCATCGTAAGAGACGACTATGAGAAATGCCACAAAATGTTATGGTTTCCGATGGATGGCGGATAAGCATCTCTTTCGTAAGGCGATAATACTTAACCGACGACGGTGAACAGCTTTGGGCGATAAACTACAGTATAAGGCCGGCCACATACATACGGAATTCCGTTTCTGGATTCGGTTTCGATATTCCGATTCAGAATTCCGAACGCAATAAGTCCATATAAAATATATGACCCGTCACACACATAAGGTAGTTTTCCGTTCGAAATTTTGCGGCCAAAACGGGATTCCCTACGTGTGTGATCGACCCGTTGGGAATTCCGAAACGGAATCCCGAAATGGCATCCCGCATGTTTGTGGCGGGCCTAAAAGCTGTGATGTGTCGTCAATCCGCCTGCGAAGCGTGACGATTAAGATCTCACTGCAACGGGAGAGGCCGTGCCATGTTAGATGTTAACGGGCCGATAAAAAGCAAGAAAGTTTTACAATAGCACAAGAGCTGGCTACAAATTTTGGAAACGTATTTAAGGCAAGTTGAAATAACAAAAAAACAGTCTCAACAGACATTTGCAAAAAAGTATCAAAAAAATTTGATTTTGGATTTATTTTTTGCAAATGTCATTTGCTGCGCAGTTGCAAAATAACTGCAAACCCTCTATCTAACTCATGATTCTAGATTTACCCATTAAAAAAATACTGTCTTTTTATTATTTCAACTTGCCCAAAACACGTTTCCCAATCAATCCAAATCCAAAAAAAGTTTCATAGGGAGCTTCACCTATTCTGCCTCCTTCCTTTGCCTCTCGCTTTGCCCCCTTTCTAGCCACACCCATGCTAAACAACATATCTCTTTGTTATTCTATCGTCCTTTTCTATAATATCTTTTTTCTTAATAGATTGTGTACTTGTATATGGATCAACAATACATGCATATTGTTGCTTATCAACACTATTGGAAATGGGAGTTCTCCGTGAGAACATAGTGTTCATAGAACCATTTCCATCAGAAGAAAAGGGCGAAACAAGGGTTTCTTTGTTTGCCAACAGTTATGTTAGTTTTTCTTTTATAAGTAACTTGATAATAATAATGGAAACATATTTAAGTAATACTTTAACATAATTTAAGTTTATTCATTAATTCGTTCCTTACAGACTATTGAAAATCCGCTGCTAAACAGCGGTCATATATTGTCTCATAGGTATGATTTTAGCCATAGTTACCAAGCTTGGCAGGCGGTGGTTGGGTTGGCAATAATTATCGAGGAGATTCTGTTGCCTGTCTCCTGTATAGTTTCCCTGAGTCGACACCTCTTACTAAATCCACGATATGAAATAGATATTATATTAGTATTAAAATATTATTTGAATTTATAAATCTAAGAGATATGATCTATAGAGCCGTAGCTCGAGGACTAATCACTGCCGGCGCCAATTAAATTGCAATTTTAACTGTTGATTTACCACATGCATGTTTGAAAAAATATTTCTGAGATATGTGCGATTCTCAAACACGCATTGGGGCAGTGCAGCGTCGCGGACATTTCCTTGCCTTAAAACCCTCTCATAGATGAGAACAGGAATCCCCATCAGTAAGACGTATATTGGCTGTAACTTTCCTCTTTTACTTTTTAATCTATGACTTTGTTTAGAGTAAAGAAGGCAAAATTTTTTCATCACCAGCCCGTAAAAGTTCACTGCTGAACATGAGAATTTCCCATTTGTCGGGGTATCAAACGTTTCGCACTTTTGACGCTGTTTCTGCAGTTGCCGGTTTGGGTGTTTCAAGTGTAGCGTTAAGAAGACTGCTCTGCCATCTTTCGGTAGCCATGATCTTTCTGGTGTTTATCATTGTCGTTCAGGACGAAATGTAATGATAGATTACGCATTACGATTATTAATATTTTTAAGATTACAGTTATCCTTACGCCGCCATCACTTTGTATCTCAGTTTACTTGTAATATTTTTTGGTTCATGCCAAATTTCTAAAAATATTCTTATAATAAAAATAAATGTTTTATTGATAAAAGGGTGTTCGCGAGTACCTATTTATATGTATTTAATTTGATAAAGTAATATTTTTACATTACATTTCTATCATTTTCAAGTAGTGCTCTGTAATAAAAAAAATATAACAAAGTATGTAACAATTTGCAGGTGGATCGAACTGTAATGAATATTTTGGAAGATTCAAAAATAAAGGTATATAGATCGTTTTATTTTAAATCGTGGAGCTGTGATTTCGATGATCAAGTAACGAGTGTGAATTTTTTGTCACATTTCAAAATGGTGCAATTACCTTGTTCAGCCTTTTTCTACTATGGCACACAAGGGGTGGACGAAGCTGCTTTTGTTGGTAAGAAACGTAAAAGGTTTGGAATACATTTTTAGATCCTAACATCACAGTACGCGTGAAATCTAGGTTCGAATCCTACCGTCATCAATGAAATTGTTAATTACTATTTGGAGTGCACGTGCTTGGCGGTTAACCAGCACTGGAGCAGCTCAGTTACAATACCTGTTTAGCATTGATAGAAGGCCTGTGCCGAGGAGTGGTACGGATGTAACCTGTAACGTTATTCTTCTACCTTTTCACTAAACGGGAACGAATGCTTTATGAACAAAATGGGACAAATAAAATAATTTTGTCTAATCATTCAATTTTTTACAAATTTAATAATATTTCAGCCATAAATAAATGTGGTATAGCATACAATGAAGGCATTTTAATAGATCATCAATTTAAAACCAAAGACTCTGCAATATATGCTGCAGGACCTGCAACTAGATATAACAGTAACTGCTACGCTGAAGATAAACAACAGGTGTACTACGACTCATATGAAGTTGGAACAAAGGTATTATGTATACATCATATTATCGTGCTACATACGATGGAACCAATCATTGAAGCAACCATTCCATTCGGAAGTTGGGGTCTCCAAAATGGCCGTTTTGTAGGCGTCCACAGCTTCTTCAGGTGATGAAAATCTCTATCCACACAATTTATTCTTTATTTTAGGGAAAGTATAGAAATTATTAGGGCTTAGGTCGGGGCTGTACGGCGGATGGTCTAATAATTCTGTTTTCTTGCTCTAAAAACTATTTTGTTCTGTGTACGGTGTGAGAACTCGCATTGTCGTGATGGAGGATGATGCGGCGGTTGCAGTTCTCTTTACGGAGTTCAGAAACGACCTGTGGCAAACAAATGCTAGCATACCATTCAGCATTAACCGTTCTTTGTCCCTCAAGAGGATTAGCATTTTCGAACACCCTAACTCGTGAGTGGTTTTTTGTTTCGGGTTCGTACGCGTATATCTAGGATTCGTCACCTGATACGATGCTTCACAGAGCGAATGCGGTATCCATCGGGAAAACAACTTTTTTACACCTAATTGTTCATGCAAAATTATTTTATTTGACTCATGCCAATGTCTAAAGTTGCCTAAATTTCGCGGTATGTCACATGTCGATCTTCCTCAATCAGCTTATGCACAGCATCAACGTTTTCTTGGGTGACTGCAGTTTTTGGACGAACTTGACGGGGAGCATCACTGAGCTTGACACGTCCACGTTGAAATTCAGCAAACCAGCGATAAATTGTGGTTTTGGATGGGGCTTCATCACCAAATGCAGAAATCATCCGGTCAACACACGGTTTTAATATGACAGGAACAGTGGAAATATTCCATTCCCGATACTTTTAGTGCAGCCTATGTAGTCCGTCAAAAGTCCACTTTAGAACATAGGCGTCCCACATAGACTGTTTTCATTATGATTATTTATATTTGCCAATTTGACTAATCGAATCAGTTAGATGCAAATAGAGCGCGATAAATAGAACTTTAAAGTTGTAAGGCTAAATAAAAATAAAATTATTAGTAGGTACATATTTTAATTTCAAAGCGACACTATGTTTTTTTGTAATTTTTCTCCGTCTGGAATAAATCATTTTAATGGAATTTTTGTTGCAATGTGAAATATTATTTTATTATATATTTTAAACATTCCGCAAAATTGGATTAAGAAGTCAATTAATTTTTCAAAATCTTTCAGTTGGGAGAGCAAATAAAAAAGCAGTTAGACCCATTACTTGTTAGTAAGATAGAAAAAATTAAAAAGGATGTAACAATTAATAATGATTTAAGCATAAGCTCTGCTACTCCAGTTTCGAAAAAAATTGGAAATATCCATGAATACTCTACGAAATCGACGTAATTAATGATTATATTATATTATAACATTTACAATTCAATGTTTTCTCATTAAAGGATTATACATTTATACTTTTATTCTTAATAGGAGTGATTTTAAAGACAATGATAAAAAAATGCCTGATTTCAAACGGCCTAAAATAATGCATTGTGTGTTACCTGGCGGATTACAATATTTGGAAGTACGATCACCTGGAAAGAAGAGTCCTTGCCACTACGTTCAATCTTTAAACTACAATGTAAATATCTTATATTTTAATAGTTTTATTACAATATTAAAATATAATAAGTTTAATTACATTTAGTATTAGGTTATATAACAGACAAATACAATAATATTTTGTTTCAATAATAATAAATAATTTTGTTTATCGGTTTCCAGGGTCATGTAATAGAAACATTTAAAGAAGGATATTTCAAGCTTCATTTAAATAAGGATCTAATAGTAGATGGTATCACTTGTTTAACACCAGACAAGCGATCGTTGAAAAATTTTTCAAATCTTTATGGTCAATCAGCAGTAGTACTAAATAATGTTCATTTACGATATACCGTAAGGAGACTTTTCATAATAAGTTTTAGTTTTTTTTTCAATTAATGTAGCAGTGGAGTTTTTAATGCGTTAAATAGGGCAGAATGCAACAGAAGTAACCTTAATATATGTACGTAAAATTAATGTAAACAGCAATACGTGGCTCGGCTCCGTGGCGCAGTGGCTTAGCAATCAGTTGCTGCGCTGGGGGCCGCGGGTTCGAATCCCACACGGAACAAGTATTTGTATGGCCTACAAATAATTGTTCCGGGTCTGGATGTGTTTGTCCTTGCAATTTATCTTTGTAAACTGCCTCCACGACACAGGAGAAAATCCTAGTGTGGGGGTAACGTTTTTTAAAAAAAAGAAAGAAAGAAAGAAAGAATAAGTCAGAATTTTTATATTATGTAATTTGCTGTACGTTATCTCATTGTAAATGAAATTCTCATTCTTTTGAGAAATATTTTTATTAACCTCAAGTTACAAAAAATATGTTATGAAATATAAATAAGGTCTTAAATCTTTAGTAGAGTTATTTTATAATAAAACAACAGAATAAACAATAGTACAAGAAGTAAAACAACGATTACCTAAGTTAAATACCGTGAGCAAAAATATTTAAATATTCTATCGAATTATCATTTCAGACCAAGAAGTTGGACAACCTTTATTCATTTTTCCGTTTACCATGGGCGTATTTTTTGTATCACGACCAATGTGACGAATTGTTTGCTATGGTAAAAGAGCTTTTACCTAAGGTAAGGCATCATAAAATGTCACTGATTGCTTATATTTACACGAACACTACACATTAAAAGTATTTGGAAATACTTTGTTCATATTGTATTAATTAAATCCCATTTAGGATATGAAAGTGAAACAAAGAATTAGTTGATATCTTATCCATTTACCTTTCGTCTTCTCGTCAGGTATACCTCAAAACTTGAAAACGAGACTGTACACCCAGTGCGTGTTGCCAGTGATGACATACGGAACTGATACGTGGTCCTTCACTGCTGGCCGGATGAGGAAGGTCAAGGTCGCTCAGCGAGCTATGGAGAGGGCTATGCTCGGAGTTTCTCTGCGTGATAAACTCAGAAATGAGGATATCCGCAGTAGAACCAGAGTGACCGACATAGCCCAACGGATTAGTAAGCTGAAGTGGCAATGGGCCGGCCATATAGCTCGAAGAACCGACAACCGATGGGGAAGAAAGGTTCTCGAGTGGCAGCCTCGTACCGGCAGGCGAAGTGTAGGGCGTCCCCCCACTAGATGGAGTGACGACCTGGTAAGATATGCAGGAAGTCGATGGATGCAGGTGGCTCAGGAACGTGCTTTGTGGCATTCTTTGGGGGAGGCCTATGTTCAGCAGTGGACTTGTGAAGGGCTGTAATGATGATGATGATGATGATTATCCATTTGTCTCTTTTTTGGGGCAAGACGTCTAGGCTGTACTGTAATTGTGCTGCGGCTGCCTAGAAACCTAACCTAAGCCTACGCCACAGGCTTTCTTTCATTTTAGGAGTAAAGTGTAACCTTGTCCGTCATACTATTTCTGTAAAAAATATTGTAGTTAACATTTAGGTAAGGATATTGCTATCGCTTTTAGATAAGCAAGTTTTAACCTGTAAATAACACTCACATAGGCAATGAGGGCACTATAAAAATTCATCATCTTATCTCACCTCGTCGTAAAAATCGACTGTGAGAATAGGTATATATCATTATATGAAATTAATGATACATTGTCATTTATGGGAGATCATGAGAATTACCATAGTTGGCTTACAATACCCTTATGACGTAAAAAGGTGTTGTTTTTTTACATCGTAACATATCAGTATTTTTATAGCAGTGTTACATATAATATTACGCCTTTACCTATGAAATTTCCGTTTCTATGAAATAAGTAAACGTAATTTTTTTCCATATTTTTTATCTCTATTAATCAAACTATTCACCCTTGCAATTGATGCATTTTTGCCATAGATTAATGATAGGTCATCGGAGCGCGTGATGACCTATCATTAATCTATGCATTTTTGCCAACGCACCGGCTGTTTATTGACGCCCGTCTTTGTCCTTCGCGCTGGCGATCATTGAGTTCGTGGGGTACCTATTTCTCAAACTTTTTTACTTTGCTAATTTGACGCGAATGGACCAATATTGCTTTGATGTTAACGTCGAAAGCTGCTGCTAATTCAGCCATAGATTGAGTACCATCAGCTTCCACAAACGATTTTAATTCGTCATTGTCGATCAATGTCTTCAGTCGATCACGGGGTTTTCGTTTTTAGGTCAATATTTCTAGAAAGGAAGCGGGCAAACCAATATATAACAGGTGGTGCGTTCGTTTGTAGTATTCGCTCCGTAAACGTCGTTGATTTTGCGTGCCGCTTGTGCCGCGTTGCTGCCACAACGTACCTACCTACTCAATACTCATATTCCATAATTACTCGAATTTTTGACGTATCCAAGATGACGAAAAAAATTCAAATACGACGAAAACATATGCAACGCTAATCAATAAATAAATGTCTAAATTTGAAAAAAGATTTCCATGTTTTTAAAATTAAATTAATTTGAAAATAGAATTGTAACAAAAATTATTTTGATTTGAAATGGCCAGTACTGCAGAACGGCAATCTTATAGATAAAGACCTATAATAAAGTGCAATTCTTGTTTTTTAAGGGCCAAAGGAGTGGAGATACACTAAAAGAGGCTCTGTATTCTATCGGTGAAAGAGTCAGCGTTGCGGTAAACAATTTTAATTTTATCTTGCACGTTATCGACTATTATCTATTATATTGTATTCTGTTAGGATTTTATTTTATCAAAGAACGAGGCATCAAAACTACTTCACGAATTTTGGCCTTTTTAAAAAATTGTTATGTAAAGGCGCATTTTTATAAGATTCTTCCATACTAGTGTGTCTCTTACCTATTTCTGCCGCCAAGTAGCGTTGCGTAAATTCCTATGTTCAATTGTGGACTTGTAATGGGTTGTGATGAATTCGAAAGGCTGATAATATGTAGAATCAGTAGACAAATAATTCCACATGTTTATAATGACTAAAATAATAATAAATCAGCTTAGGGACGCTTTACAAGCATTACTGCTTTTGCAGTTTTGCTTGTAAAGCTTTGGTATTATATCCCTAATCTTATTTTTTTTCTCATTTGCAGTCTTCTACACAAAATACCAAAGCAAAAGTTCGTTCCGCGTTCGAAACTTCTTCATACGTCGAAGCAATCGCTGACTACGTCATAGAGTGGTTATCGGAGAACGAGAACTTGCTGCCAGTGTATTTGCAGCCATGGCATCAGTCTGCGTATGCTTGTGACTTGGATGCTAATCCTGCATTTAAGAAGCGGAAACGGAGTATTATTAAAATGATTAATGCGATTTATTAGCGTATTTGCGTTTTGAATGACTTCTTAAGTTGTTACAGATTAAACGATTTATAAGTATAGTAACACTTGTTTATTATTTCATCAAACAAATATATGATCATTATAGTGGTTGTACTGAGTATCTATTATATATATTTATACAAAACTTTTTCTCGATTATTTACAATATATTAATCGAATTTCAATTGTGATTTCCTATTATATGACGATAAAGAGAACGTAATATTTACTAAATGCACTCGATTCTATCAATTTGGTCTCCGGTTTCTGTTCTTTTCAATTCAACCACAGTAGAGTTCTACTGCAGTCACCTTGGTTAGCAAGTATCTACCAACTTTTCGCAATGTTTTAGGCAATTTCTATGGCCCTCAAATCGCGTGATGGCCTCGCGGCTAAAAATTTATTTTGTGCCTATATTTTTATTTCTACACTGATATTAATACTTCATAAAGAAAGTGTTCACTGAAAGCTGTTTTAGAGACCCATATGTTTAGTTCCATGTTTCGATAAGCCTTATCGGAATTATTGCAGGCTACTTCGAAGAAAAATTAAGTAACGGATTAAAATACCTATAGTTACTTGGCAGGAGCTGGGCGCTAGCATTGCATTTTTTTTTAAAACGTTACTAAGATTTTCTCCAATAACGTGGAGGCAGTTTACGTACATAAATTTCGCAAGGACAAACATCCAGACTCGGAACAATTATTTGTAGACCATACAAATATTTGTTCCGTGCGGGATTCGAACCCGCCCCCTTCAGCTAAGCGCCACTCATTGCTAAGCCACTGCGCCTCGGAGCCCCCGAATTTTTTTGTGATCGAGCAACGTAATTTCGATATTTTGTGCAATTATAACTAATAGTGACGGTCTTCAACAAACACGCTGTTTACATGGTACAGGCACGCTGTCGATATCTATCTTCTATCTATACTATAATAAAACTCTAACACGACGTCTGTCTGAACACGCATCATGCAAAAACCTGTGAACCGATTTGGATTGGACTTTTACTAGCAAATAGCTGTTGTTATAAGGAGTAACTTAGGCAAGTTTTATTTTAGAAAAATAATTAGAGTTTCGCGCAAAAAAATTAAAACCCATGAAATCCAATCGCTATAAATTCCACGAGGGCGAAGTCGCAGAGAACAGCTAGTATTTTATGTAGTTATATATTGCTCCTAGATTACCAGCGTAAAATATCAACAATGTTTCGTATGTCGTATCTTAGAGAAATGGAGACTCTTTTTACTGGCAACGAGGCATACCATGTTAGTTCTTAGGGGTGACACAGCATTTTGATTTTGCACGCCTCACAACGTATACTCTCGATATGTGGCCATACCTCAATTTTGCACCATTAAATCGTTCTTATACTTTTAGCTAGACATCAAATCCATATTATTTTTAACGTTACAATAACTACAGACATTGAATTATAAGACTAGTTTATTTTCTAATTAATTCATTTGAGATTACATAACAAAAAATGTTATTGAAAATATATATGGACTGCCGTCCGTTGCATTGGTTTGTGCGTCGGTGAGTCTTCTCGCTCAATAGAAATGTAAGCTATAGATTGAGATAATATAATATTAAATAAGATTCCATATATTCTAAGGAGGATCCCTATTGATTTATGTTATACTTAGAACTCATCATCATCATCATCATCTTTACAGCCTTTCATAAGTCCACTGCTGAACATAGGCCTCCCCCAAGGAATGCCACAAAGCACGGTCCTGAGCCACCTGCATCTATCGACTTCCTGCATGTCTTACCAGGTCGTCAATCCATCTCGTGGGGGTCGCCCTACACTTCGCCTACCGGTACGAGGCTGCCACTCGAGAACCTTTCTTCCCCATCGGTTGTCGGTTCTTCGAGCTATATGGCCGGCCCACTGCCATTTCAGCTTACTAATCCGTTGGGCTATGTCGGTTACTCTTGTTCTACTGCGGATATCCTCTTTTCTAAGTTTATCACGCAGAGAAACCCCAAGCATAGCCCTCTCCTTAGCTCGTTGAGCGACTTTAAGCTTCCTCATACGGCCAGCAGTGAAGGACCACGTCTGTGATCCGTGGTCATCACCACTGGCAACACGCACTGGTTGTACAATTTCGTTTTAAGGTTTTGAGGTATGTCTAACGAGAAGATGTGTCGTAGTTTCCCGAACGCTGCCCAGCCGAGTTGAATCCGTCGATTGACCTCTCGGTCGAAGTTGGACTTACCTAGTTGGACTATTTGTCCCAGGTAAACATACTCGTCAACAACTTCGAGCTTAGTGCTCCCAACAACCACCGGCATAGGTGTGACATGGATATTAAACATGATCTTTGTTTTGTCCATGTTCATCTTAAGACCTATCCGTTGGGAGACACTATCGAGGTCATTGAGCATGGTGCTTAGTTCCTCCAGCGATTCTGCCATAAGGACTATATCGTCGGCAAATCGAAGGTGAGTGATGTACTCGCCATTGATGTTAATACCGTATCCTTTCCAGTCCAGAAGCTTGAAAACGTCTTAGAAGGCAGCGGTGAAGAGTTTCGGGGATATGACGTCACCCTGTCTTACATCTCTCTGCAGTTGGATGGGTTTCGTACTCTGGTTCTGCATTCGGATAGCCATCGTAACCCTACTGTACAAGCACTTCGATATACCGACAGTCAACTTGGCACCGCCCAAATTTTGACGGAATCAAAGGCTTTCTCATAGTCCACATACGCCAGACATAGTGTCAAATTGTACTCCTCGGACTTCTGTACAATTTGCCGAAGAGTATGTATGTAATCTATGGTACTAAAGCCTTTTCGGAAACTGGCTTGTTCGGGAGGATGGAAGTCGTCAATTCTGCGTGCGAGACGATTCGTAATGGCTCTCGAAAACAGTACGTAGACGCGGCTGAGAAGGGAAATCGATCTATAGGTCTTCAAGAGAGCATTGCCGTCTTTCTTGAAGAACAAGACCGTGTAGTGCCACCATGAAGGACGGAATTAAAGAGCTTCTGAAGGACTTCAAGTACCGGTTTTGCAAGTACCGGTTGTCAAAAGCTCCGCTGTAATTCCATCATCACCTGGGGCCCTGTCGTTTTTAAGGTGCTGGAGAGCCATTCTAATCTCGCTCAGACTGACGTCCGGGATATCTTCGGAATAGTGTCGGATAAGCCTCGCTCTTGGATCATTACTCACACTTGCGTGTGGCTCCAACGATGACGTGTACAGCTGCCCATAGAACCTCTCAATCTCACTCAAAATCTCAGGTGTCCCGGAAACGATGCTGCCATACTCGGTCTTCAGCTTTGAAAGTTGGCTCTTTCTGGCAGACAGATCTCTGGAAAAGACTTTGGAGCCTTGGTTCCGCTCGATCGCTTCTTCAATACAAGCTGTATTGAAGTTGCGTAAGTCCCGCCGCATGCAATTGGAGATCTGTCTGTCTGTTCAGTTACCTGTATGCTGTCAAGTCTCAAAATCAAGTCTTCAACAGACGGTATCAGGTTAAAATTGGATAAAGCAAACTAAGGATGTTCCCAAAAGGAGAAAAAAGAGACTAAAAAATGTGCAATAAATTAAAGATCAAATCACTGAGGAATGTTTTGTGTATTATAAACCTAGTCTAGAATCCGATAAACTTTAGTTTAAATCTTATGGTGTGAGGCCCTCGAGTGGGTGTGCAGTGGGGAAGCACTTGCTGTTGAAGCACATGCACTTCCTTTGATGTCCCGAAGGCCTTTGACAGCCCTGAGTTCCTTAGAGGTTCGTTCTCTGTTACTTCATTTCTGCTGCATATTAATGATCTGTTTATGTCTGACATCTATGGGTATGCAGACGAAAGCACAGTTGTGGACATGTACTAGCCGAATGCTTAGGAGAGTCGGTTTCAAATTCAGACCGGGGAAGGGAAGCTATGGTAGAGCGTGCGAATCTCTCACTGTAGGCAATGTCCGAAAGGGGCGATGCCAATCTTGTGAGATTTAACACTTCGATAACACAAGGGTTTCTATTCACCACTAAAAGTAGTCCGTTCACTTTAGTTTCTATTTTCCGAAATGTATCTTTAGAATATACTGACCACCTTCAGAAGTTCTCCTCCCTCTCAAAAGTGAGTGGAGCAGTTCCACAGCTGGGCACAGGCCTCCTCTTATATAGGCTATAACTTTACTTTACTCTTCAGAGGGTAGGGATTAAGATTTCCCTGCGACTCATTTACAAGTGATTCATTGAGTCCAGGGGCAAAACAGCCGCAAGAAAAGTAGGTGTCCAGCTTCATACCTTAATTAAAGTGCGTCGTGCATGGAGTACTGCTTTCACATATGGACTGGTGCTGCAAAATGAATCTTGCAGAGTTGGACTCAGTAGAAAGACGTGGTAAGAGGCTTATTGGTTACTTTGATATGGTTAAAACCAATCTTGTCAGTCTCTCGGTATTCTATATGATGCATTTCGGCAAGTGTGCGTAGGAATTACATGCTTTAATTCCTCTCTACCCTTTTCACATCGGACAACTAGGTGGTTGGCTGATCTTCCCTTGGAGGTTGTTATCGATGTTCCACGCATTCAACCCATTGCCTTCACTTTGTCTTTCGTAATTCTACCGACGTCTCTCTTTCTGTACGGTTACAATTTGAGCGTCTTCAAGGCAAGAGTGAATAGACTTTTGTTACGCTATGTCAGTGCAATTTACCATATAGGGCTACAGAATCACACATATTTGTGCGATTTGCTGTAAAGACTATCGGTCTGTGGGGTCCCCGTGCAATGAAGTTCCTAAATGAATTGTATCCGCGACTTCTTGTCGCCACTGGTATTAAGATTCTCCATCAAAAGCTAAGTATCAGACAATCAGCGTGGAATCGCAGCCAGCGTTCTTGGCATTATACAGCGGGGAGTAAGATTGTTAATTTAAGTTTTTAGTTTTCATTATTTTTATTGTAGAAATTAAAATTACAAGTTTTAATATTATACATATAATAATCTATGTTAACAATTACATAACATAAATATAACCTATTTTTTGAAAATTATGTCAAATCATGACATTTTGCCATTTTAAAGTCATTTTTTAATAATATTTGCTTAAGGTTTATTAATTTAATATTTTTATTTAAATTTATCATGGCTCAAGAAAATTCATCTAAGCCTCTTGTCATAAACGATCTGCTCATACAAAATGTGAACACCTGGGGAAATGTTCAATACAATATTCCACTAAGATTGTCCAACAACGAGACCCGGACAGCCACCAGCATTGCGCACCGTCATATACCGGATATACCGCATAATTTCGACTGTGTAAGTAGTATATTTTATTCCAGTTCGATATATTTGGAATATAATATTTTGTTTCATATCCAGCGTAAGCAACCGAGATGTCAGTTGCATACATTGATATATAATGTACGAGCATTCTAGATGCGGCATTTAGTATGTACTTAATGACATATTGCGTCTGTATGAGGCCACAATATTATATTATACTTTGTTTGATAGGAATTAGTGAACATTATGTGATTTACTAGCTTCAAATAATGTTGATAGCTTACCGTTATAGCTTCTCCGCCGGCAACGATGAAATTCTTAATTGCAATTTTAACTGCTGGTTTACCACGTTCTCAGCGGTGAATAAAAACATTGTGAGTAAACTTTCATGTCTGAGAAATAAGAAAAAAAATGTTTCGCAGACATGGAAAGTTCGAACACACGCAATAAAGCAGCGCGGCGGGCACTTCCTTGCCCTAAGTTCTTCTCAGAAATGAGAGGAGGCCTGTGCCCATCAGTGGGACGTGTACAAGTTGTAACTTTACTTTACTTTTACCGTTACAGCCTATCAGAAGTCCACTGCTAAACACAGACCTCCCCCATAGATTTATATTATATTTTTACTCAAAAGTCATTTTTACTCAAAAGTCGGGAATTTAAAATAAGTTAAAATACGCGATAAAATCCGTAAAATTAGTTTTATTTAAATGAGTAGTGTTCGCGTAAATATAAAAAATCATTAAATAAATTAACAATTCATTTTTAATTAAATTTATTATATATTTCTTTCTTCTTTCCGTTTAACATTCACGATGGAAACATTCTTTCCGTAAAACTTACTTTTCCAGACTTCCAGTCACAGTTAATATAAAAATCGTGACATTTGAATTAGAGTAAAAATATAGTATTTTTGGTACTATATTATTTTTCTATAATATATACGCGTAGTACAATTGATTAAAATATAGTACTATTATAATAGGGTTTTCACACATATTATAGTATGTGTGAAAACCCTATTATAATCCGAACTGTCCAAAACCGATGATCCAAAACCTACAACGCAGGTATTGAGTATGACCACGCCATCAATCTCGGGGAGGCTATTAAAATTATCCCCAATTCAATCGATGACTTCTGTTGTCTCACCAGGCTATTCACAGCCGAACGAGTATCTTACCATACATACGCTCTTCCGGAAGAGCGTAGAGTCAGGGCCGTCATCCGCGGCGTCCTCTTCGAATTCTCCAACGAAGAAATCCTCGAGGACCTTAAGTCCCAAGGATTCCCCGTAGAAGTCGTGCACAAAATGCACAGCAGAACGGGCCACCCGGCAAACTACAGAGGCTGCCCCTGCGCACCTCATCGTCGCCCCAGTAGGCAAGCTCCCCCGCCGGTCAATGACCGTTCATTTCCGGCCCTCTATCAACAAATGCCCCGTCAGGGCCTTTCTCAGCCCGTCCAGGGCTTCTCTCGGCCCTCTCAGGGTCCCCCTAGGCCCCCTCAGGGCACTATTCGGCCCCCCTTCTCTCAGCCTATGCAGCCTCCAGTTTTTCCCTGGGGCTCCAAAAAGGCAGACCCACCGCGGAAATCCTCCGCCCCACAACAATCACAGCCCTCAAAAGCCGATTACCTAAAAACGGTGTATTCCGCTATTAGGAACATCCACGTTGGGGAAATCGCTGTGTTAACACGCAAATTGCGCGCTGCGAGGTCCCCTCAGGACCGTCTCCTCGCTCTTGCAGAGCATCATAATCTTTTGTGCTCGTTGTAAGTTAAGTTAACTTAATTAACGGCCTTCACCAAGACACTTCACTGCTCTCCCATTTCTACTCCGCAGCTTACCAACATGGAAGCCACGGTGTGCAGGCTAGCTATGACTGGACATCAGTCCATCTTCATAGCCTCCTGTTACATCCCTTCTGGAATCCTTCCCCTCAAAAAAGATTTTGAGGCTATTTTATATTTAGGCAATTCAGTCATTATGTTTGGAGATTTTAACTTCAAGCATACTGAATGGACATGCCGTACTATCTCCCGTAGTGGCAGGATACAGCTCGATATCACGCAGTCTCACGCAGGTCAAGACGACGCAGGTCAAGACCTTACCGTCCACTGTCCCCTAGGTGCTACTCACTATCCCGATGTCAACGACTACGCTCCCGACGTGCTAGATTTTGCACTATTCAAAAGTGTTTCCCTCAACCTCAGGGCAATCGAGACACTAGACGATCTAGGATCCGACCACCGACCGGTCTTCCTCATTCTTGGCCATCAGCCACCCCCCTCAACACCCTCCACTAAAACCTTCACAAATTGGAAGGGCTTCAGCGAGTCCCTAGCGAAAGCTCTGGACTCACAGGACTCCCCCATCTCCCTATCGTCGGACTTAGATAGTCCCGAAAAAATCCACACTGCCGTCGATTCACTCTCCACCCTTATTAAATCCTCCCTTAAGGAGAATGAAAGGGTCGTCCCAGTTGCTAATAATAGTGGGCTTCCCCTATATATTAGCAATTTATTAAAAGCCAAGAAAGCTGCTTTCCGGAGAGCAGCAAAATATCCCACGCCCGAATATAGGCGCACGGCCAATCGTCTTCAACGAGAACTCTGTTTCCGCCTCTGAATTTCATGACCTCGAAAAGAGTAAGCTCATGGAGAATATCTCTCCCTCTCATACAGCGTACTATCAGATGGCTCGATCCCTCCGCATGGACGCAATCACCCACACTCCCTCTCTCTCCTGTCCCGACGGTACGGTAGCCTTCGAGGACGAGGAAAAGGCTGAGTGCTTTGCAGACAGCATTGCCGCTCAATGCTCTCTTAGCTCTCAACCCGTCGACCCCTCACACGTCCAGGCAGTGGGGGATGAGGTCCGCCGCCGGAACTCACCCCCTACAGCCTCCGAACCTATCTCTGTGTCCAATGATGAGATTTCATCCCTCATCAAAGGACTTAAGCCTAAAAATGCTCCGGGCGCGGATGGCATCTCCAACCAAGCCCTTAAACACTTTCCTGAGCAGGTGTTAACCCTTTTAACTATTATCCCATCAATTCGGTTTCCGAGCGAAACACTTTTGCCCCCAACAAGTTAACCGTATTGTGGAATATATCCTCAGCGGTATAAATAGTAATCCATAGCCAAAGCCTTTGATAGAGTCTGGCATGAAGGCTTTATATACAAATTATACAAAATAGGTCTCCCCGATCGTCTAGTACGTCTCGTGGCCTCTTATTTAAAGCATCGTACCTTTCGTTTTAGACACGCTATCTTCTCAGCGCCCCATCAAAGCTGGTGTCCCTCAGGGCTCAGTACTTGCTCCTCTCCTGTACATCCTGTTCACCAACGACATTCCCATCCCGTCGAACGGTGTTCAGCTCTCCCTCTTCGCAGATGACACTGCCCTATACTGTAAAGGTATCTCGCTACCTTTCATACGGAACAAGATCCAAAAGTCAGTTGATGACCTAGGAGCTTGGTTCCAAAAATCGCGCATCGATGTGAACCCGGAGGAGAGCTCCGCCGTTCACTTCAATTATAAACGACGCCGACTCAAAAACACTCCACTAATACATATGCTAGGGACCTCTGTCCCCTGGCATACGCCCTTGACTCGAGGCTCACTTTCAGGCCCCATGTCAAAAGAGTAACCCGTCACGTACGTTTCTACCTGCAACTACACGGTGAATTTGAATATATAACCTACTATTGCAGCATAAAATAATAACGCCATATCTTTTGGTACATGAGATGCGATGGTATATGAGACAGCTTGTCTCTGGATTGACATCTTTGTTTGTATACATTTTTGGAACCAAGTTCCTTATTGCACGGTACGAATTTGGCGGATGGGGGCTAGGCGAGAAAAAGTGTAAGATTTTTCCGTCACGTCCCCTTCAGACACTATGTCAGAGTAGAGTAGACGGCCTTGGCGCTATAAGGAAGCGAGATTGAGTAATATTCATCTCCCTCGCACTTTTTCTTATCTTAGCATGAACGAAATATTATTTTATTTTAAATGAAGCTTCATTTGAATAGAATAGAATAGAATAATTTTTATTCTATATTGATTTTTTTGATTATTGATTTTTTAATTTATATATTGATTACAAGTAATTCTTATTGAAAGTCATTTTTTTACATTACCACTGGTTCTAAAAAATCCTCTGTAGACGCTAGTAATTTATTTATTTGTATTATGACCTTACATATGGAATTGGTGTTTTGTACGGGAGGAATATAAAGTCATTTTTTTTGGAAAATATATTTAATTAATCAAAGTTTGCACCGTTGTTATCTATGCAGTTTTGCCATCTCATAGGTAGTTCATTGATCCCTTTACTAAAAAAACCATGGGGGCGAGAATCAATAAACTCTTTAAAGGCGATTTGGACTGCCGCATCGGAGTTGAATTTTTTTCCTTGTAAGAAGTTGTCCAAATTCCGGAAAAAACGGTAATCTGTTGGAGCAAGGTCCGGGGAGTACGGTGCATGTCGCAAATATTCCAATTGCAGCTCATCTAACTTAGTGGTTGTTTGCTGTGCAGTGTGTGGTCTTGCGTTGCCGTGAAGCAGCAATGGCCTAGAGCGATTGATCAATCTCGGTTGTTTAGCAGCTAGTTCTTCCTTCATGGTTTGCATTTGCTGACAAAAAATATCTGCCGTAATCTTTTGTCCGATTTTAGAAAGCTGTAGTGAACGACACCGGCGCTAGTCCACCAAACACTCTCAAGTAACTTTTTCTGAGTCAATTTTCATTTAGGGCAGGATTTGGCTGGGTCTCCAGGGTTCAGCTATTGTGACGAGCGCTTCCGATTATCGTACAGTATCCACTTTTCATCACAAGTAATGATTCGATTTAAAATCCCTTCATTATTGTGTCGGTTGAGCAAAGTAACATAGCAGTCGACGCGTGTTTGCAAGTTCGATTCACTCAGTTCATGAGGTACATACCCATCGTTCAAGTTTTTTTACTTTCCCGATTTGCTTCAAGTGGATTAATACAGTTTTATCACTTACCCCAAAGCTGCAGCCTGCAGCTATCTCTGAAGTGCTTTGTGATGGATCCGCTTCCAAAATAGCCTTTAATTCTTTATTTTCCACTTTGATCTCCGGCCGTCCACGGGGTTGGTTATCAAGAACGAAAACATTGAAACCAAAAACGTACCGTGCCTTTTTTTGCGACACCAGCGCCGTACACATCATTAATCCTTCGAGTTGTTTCTGCAGCACTGGTGCCACGGTAGAACTCGTACTCGTAAATATACCGGTATTTCATGTTTTCCATTGTGTGGTAATAAGCGACGCCAAAAAAAGGAAAGGAGGAAAAAACAAATGAATGACTGTTCTCAAAACTCAAATGTACCAGCTAAATGAATTTACAAATTTGAATTTGGAATTCTTAACCAAAGAGGAGATATTTGAGATCAAAGTGGTCAGTACGACAAAACGCTAATTCAATATGTAAGGACCTAATATTTGGTAATCATTAATATAATACGTTTTTCAGTAATAATATACTACGAAAGGAACTTCGTTCTAACCGACTTTTCCACGATACTCACGCATGTTTTTTTTTAAATTAAATAATCTTACAAGCTAAGCTAGAGCTCCATAGCACGACAAATAGACAAGCGATGGGGAGGAAAAGAACTTGAGTGGCACGTCACGATAAACGAGCAATAGTTCACTAAATGAGGCGTCGACATGATCAGGCATGTCGAAGAAAGTCGATTGAATACAGTTGAGGTGAACTTTTTGGCAATTTGTGGAGAAGTCTAGGTTTAGCATTCTTTATCTAGACTTCTGATAGGCTGTAATACTAATGAATGCAGTTTTGATTACATTCATAGTTTTTTTTTAATTTAATGTTCTCTTTTGAAAAAACCAGTAATTCGATTTTCATGACGTCATTTTTTAATAGATCTTATTCTTCATTCACTTATTCTTTACAATAGTTTACATTTAAGCATAACAATCGAATATAAAATAAGTACTCAGTTCGGCAACGGTCATCAAAGTCAAAAACGTCTGACGAAAGGTCTGGCTCATATCCAGTTGCATTAAACTGATAAAGGGCTTATGTCTCGCACCTAACACGCTTAAATTATCTAAATAATATCGAAATATCTAAGGAGTCGCTGTCCATCGAAGTCCATGAAATTTTATCGATATATCCTTGAGTCAATGTAAACATGTATGGAGTTGGCGTGCACACTAATTTAACGCGTGTCATTATTATATGTATATTATTAGAGTAACCAAGCGGCTAACAATTTACCTAATGATAAGTGCCTACAGAAGTTCATAGAAAGGGTTGTCACTAGTGATTCAACGAATACGAATATTCGTATTCGCCGAATAGTAGCCATTTAACAAATATTCGTATTCGGCGAACACTGATCACGAATATTTAAAAACTAATATTTTTGTTCGCAATTCTAATTACTGGCGGACTTGGATAACGCGCGTCGTCGCGCGTAAAAATTACGTGTGTTTTGGCCCTTAGCCTCAACGACGGGGGACTCCCAAAAATATTTTTCACTGAAAGGAAACTATGTACAGTCGCCTCGGAAAGACTTTTTTCAACGGCTGGGAACATCCAAACTGAAAAAAGTCTTCCCGAGGAAATCGCCTAAAACCAGAAAATCTACAAATTTTGTTTTTTGAATAAAAATTTGTCTATTGTAAATTTTAATTATTAGAAAAATAGAAAAAAAAATTCATCAAATAAATTAGTTTTTTATTACCATGGCGAGATATTCGTATTCGTATTCGTATTCACCGAATAGTAGGTTTGATATTCGTATTCGTATTCGTAAAAGTAGTATTCGTTGCATCACTAGTTGTCACCCCTAAGGTCTCAGGGGAAATGCATTAATTATACTGATTCGCTTACCCTTCAAACCGGGCACTTCTTGGTAGCAGAAGTGGTACCAGCCCAGACGTGCTTCCAATCTGTAGAGGAGTCCCACCGCCTAGTGTAATCAAGGTAATGATATGTCCTGATTTCATTTTTTCTTACTTTTTTAGAAAATTCACGATCCGCTTCCTGAGCGTGTCATTGGTCGAGACATGGTGGTTGAAAAAGAATCCTATAAGACCACAACTGGAGAATATTGTGTGAAGCCTAACCCTAATAAAGCTATGGAACGGTCGGACTGTGCCAGTAATTGTAAAAAAGTTATTTACATGACTGGCGTTGAAAAAGAAGTTAGTTATATTTTTATCGATTTTTAAGAAATAATAATATTAAAGCAAAATCGTAACAAAATTTGCCAGTAAGTTGCAATTATTGAGGCGTTATAATCGATATTTATATAGAAGAGTTGACATCGATCAGGAGATCCATCACCATACAAATTCATCAGAGCTTACGTGGTAGAGATATGCTGCAATGTAACTGTAATATGGCAGCGTGAAATAGCTGAATAATAGAGAATGTTGCTGTGCTTTGTATGGTGAGGGACGAGATCTGGAGAGCCTTTTTACGAGTAATAAGGCATTCCTTGTTAGTCATGAGGGGTGATAACGCTGAATTTTAACTCTTATTTGAGGATAAATGTAGGTGTCTATGTGCCACAGCATTCACCTACCATCAGGTAGACCGTGTGCTAGTTTGTCAGATAACAATGATATTAAACCACTAAATAAGATGTTTTGTTTTTAATTTTTAATGGTGTCAATCACGGAGCAAATTTTGCTCCATGGTGTCAATTAATAAATCCATGTATATGTAATATCACTTAATTATGATTTTCAGCTGCAAGGTAAAAACATCAGACAGCCGATTATGATATCCGAGATGAAAGATAAGTACAAAGGCGTTTCAAAGTCACCGCTAGCACCGCCGGAGATTATTGTTAAGCCACCTGATCCGGAATACATTTTTGATGTTCGTATTAGGGGTTTTCTAAATAAAGACTATATACTGTATTCAATAGAGCAAACTTACTCTTCGCAGTGCCAATGAATCGATCCGATCGGAAAGGGCTCGGTCGTCGACGATTCGAGCCGCTCTGCGCTGGATGCGGTCAAGTGGAAGGAGCTGGCACTGGGGAGCCCCTGCCCAGAGATGGGAACAGTATTCCATGTGGGGCCGAACCTGCGCCTTGTAAAGTTGCAGGCGGTGTGCCGGCATGAAATACTGTCCCGCTCTGCTGAGCACGCCAAGCTTAGCAAGCAAGTCTTATATGGGATTTACTATAACTGTTTGATTCGCACTTTTCCACCTCAGACCCTGTTTCTATTCAATAGTATGTGTATTTTGAAGGGCTGGTACATAAACGAAATAGTTACTCCGCCATTAAATGAATGCTAAAAGTTCTTTCAAAAAATACTAGCTGTTAACAAGGGTGGAAAATATAGGCTGAAGATTTATCGACCAAATTGGCGATATACTGAAAATGGGCCAGATAGGAGTACCCTTAACCGACGAGCGTTGATGCGTAGATATATGTGTGTAAAGGAGGCGAGAGAGGTGTGTATGGATCGTGCCAAATGGAAGTCCGTAGTTTCTGCCTACCCCTCCGGGTGACAGGCGTGAATGTTTATGTTATGTTTATGTTTTATGTTATTAACACTGCTAGTACTACTACTAGCTTATCGCTCTAAGCTGAAAATGCTTGTGCGTATGCTTGATTTGTAAAATTGGCACTCGTATCCATTGTATGCATAAGTAGGCTTGAGCGATATCAGATGGTATAATATAGCTATGGATAGGAATAGATTGGTTTAAAATTTAACTGCCCGTAATCCTGAACTAAGTTTTTTATTAATTTACTGATAAGTCTTATAGTTATTTTAGTATAATTACACTTTATCTGTAAGTGTTTCAGGTTTTTGTTTAAAAAATAAAGCGTTATAATTATAAAAACAAAACAGGTACGAAACGCTTACACACCGTGTACCGTCTCGAATCAGAGAGGTTAAAGTGTGATCTTGCATATTGTTATAACTTCCGGAATAGGAACGTCAATTTATTGGATGATAGAATAAAATATTAAATTGTTTTTAAATATTATTTAATTTATTTCCATGAATTAATGAATATTATTATTTGTAAACACGCTTCTTTTTTATCAGACCGCATTAATAATAATAATAATGTCCTCCAGACCGAATTTCGGTCACGGCGGCCAGTCTCAACGAAGACTAGCCATCGGCGTAGGACAGGATTATAGTGTCAAGTGTATGCACAAGCACAGGTGTACTCTCTATTCCTTCACTCTCCAAGTCCGATGGGACGGTAAACCGACACGACCGGAGAGAGATCAGGCGCAGGACCAAAGGCTTTACGTGCTTTCCGAGGCACGGGGTTGAGACACCGCCAGCTTCCTGACTCCGGGCAGCTACTGAGAACTGACTACTAAAAAATTTCTTGGAAAAACTCAATAACTGATTTTTTGGCCCGACTCGGGATTCGAAACCGGGACCTCGTGATCAGCAGTTGCACTACTACAACCACTAGATCAACGAGGCAATCATTAGTACTATTAGGAGGATTTCGCTACTTTTGGCAGCAGATTTGATTGGATTGACTCATCGTCGAAGTATATTTTAAGCGGAAGTATTATATACGAGTTGATTACGCCGTCATCTTTCGAAGACTATAAGACTTTACTTGCAAGTTCCATCACGGCTTCTTCTTGATTCTGACATCTTACGAAACCATACATAAAACTACGCACAATACGCAAAACTACGCATATTAGAAAAATGCAATTCTAAAAACACAGATTTTTTAGGTACTCGCAGCTGGCAGAAACGAAGCTCCCGTCATACCCGAAAACGCTAGTGGATTCAGTCGACTGCTCGATCCTTACATATCCACTTATCGTGCATTTCAGAAACCTTTTACTACAGATGAACAGTACGGGATAGGTGCTAAAGATCACATAACTTTCTACACGGAGTCTAACACACCGAAAGTAAAATAGCAAAATTTTATAACAATAGTACCTATTTAAGTGTTTTGTAGTTATTTTTTTTACTTACTGCCTTTGTCATCAGCCTATTACAGTCCATGGCGGGACCAAGGATTCTCGCATGTTAAAATGATTTTTTTTTATAGAATAAGGGTGACAAATGGAGTGTAGAGGTCAGTGGATGCTGTGACCCATAAACACTCAATTAGGAATTAAAATGCGTTGTCACCTCTGAGAACTAAGATGGAATGAATCGCTTCCAGTGAAAACGGTCTCCGGTTCTCTACACTCACCAAACGAAACACAGTAGCAATAAGCTGTTATGTTACGCTGGTATTCTGTGGAGCGATTTCACGTAATCTTAACACAAGGCATGTCAACCAATGTGGCTCATATATGACGACTAAGAATCACAGTACTCAGCCATTGCATTTATTCCAGCTGTTTGATTTTTTGAGAGCAGTTTATGAGACTATTGCCCAAATACTCGAACACTACTCAATTTTGAGATGCCGTTAAGTCTCGTGCTGTCTCTATCACTTTACGTCAAAGTGACTGTGACACCACGAGACTTTAACTACGCCTTAAAATTGGGTAGCATTTGACTATTTGGCCATACGTAATTTTCACTATTACTATCACTACAGCTCATTAAGTCTGAACACAGGCCATAGATTGGTACAAATTACAGTCCTGAGCAAACTGCATCCGTCGAATACTTGCGTGTTTTATCAAGTCGTCCCTCCGTCTAGTGGGAGTAGCCTATTCTATGGGGTAATAACCTTGCACCTGATGGAGTGACGATCTCATTATGTATCAAGAGATCGTGCAGCAGCAGATTAGCAGTGAGTTGAAGGAGCACGTGATTAAGGACCATGCTTTGTGGCAGTATTTGGGGGAGACCTCAAATGCTGACTTGTGAGTGCAATGATGACGAAGAAAGCAGGTTTTTAATAGCTTAGTTAAATACATTAACGAGATGTTAAAATAAGGTGAGACTATCTTAGGCCGACACCATTCGCCTGTGTTTTGATTGCGTTAATTCATAATGTTATAGGGTCGTGGATTTGGTCCAAAGTATAAAAAAATATGGATGCCACTAACTGCCAAAGTTCACAGGAACGTGTATGATAGAATTCATTTTAAGAAAGAGTATAAAGCGGTTGCATCTTGTCACAATCCAGTGAATAATTTAAAAGGGTGAGTAGTGTAGTTATTAATTAGTAGAAATATTTATTACAACTAGCTTTTCCCCACGACTTCGCCAGTATGGAATTTAGTACGATGGGTTTTTTTTTAAAGGAGGGAAAGTATGGAATTTAGCGGGGGCAAAAACGGGTTATGTCAGATTCGCACTGACTAAAACCACATGGTGTTCCACATTCGCCGCATATTTACAGGTCCATGAAAACGCTTTTGCACACAACCGCGTCCCCACTAGCGGTGGCCACCCCATGGCGGTCTCTCTTTGGAAGAGAACAACTCCTCCTCCTTCTACTTCTCAGTTAAGGCGCACCAGAACGCAAGATGCGCTTTTTTCTCCTCCGCGGCCCCACCTCAGCTAGTGGTGGATGGGATATATAGAGAATACCCCTCCAGCCCACTCACAGTGGTTACCTTGAGGCGGCCTTTCACTTAGGGTCAGCTAGTCAAGTGAGTTCTTCGTTGTTCACCGGGAGTGACCAAGTAACGACTAAAAAAAGGGTGATACAGAAGAAGAAACATATTTTTGGTGAATAAAGGTCTGACCAACAACACTTTTTCAGCTGATTGGTGATCTCAGTGTCAAACTTGCCTTTGCTGCTGCTTCCTGTCACCGATCTAATTATTTTATATCTGATATAAACATGATAACTAGTAACCATAACGTATAGATAACTATCGGCTAAAAGATATTCCTGCCATTTCGCTAAATAAGAGATAGGGTGATGTCAAATCACTTATTTTCAACCACACAAATTAGCGGCTAACTTCCCTTTGGAAAACAATTTGAGGAGACCTAATGGAGGTGCGCCTAGGGAGTTTTACGTGCCTAGTGAATTTTACGTGTTAGAGGCACATATATGGTTGCAGCACGAGTTGATTCGTTCGAACAGAGAAGCACAAGCATGAATTAGCAGCATAATGCTGCTGCATTTTATATGGTGAGTTTGTTTTTACTGGTAACAAGGCATAATATAGCAGTTCTTAGGAGAGACAATGTGCCCACATTTTGATTCCTAATCGATGGTACGAGAAGAAGCGTCTGTGGGCCACGACACCCACTTACATAAGGTGAACTATGTCCTACGCGCTTTGCGCTTAAGGCATGCAAAAGTAGGTTTATGTATTATTTTTATTTAACAAATTATTTTTCGTTAATCACAGAGTTTTCGAATCAGAAACTAAAAAGCAATACAAGGTACCATTCACAATATCACCTCTCGCATCTTGGGATCATGGCGAAAACTTCTATTTGGCACCATTTCCTCCAAATCCATATCAGACGAATATCGCTCCATTCATGTATTGCAGCGATTACTGTCATGTTGCACAGGGCACTAAACCGTGTACTGTTATTAACCAGCTATGTCACGATATGACGCCACACAAGCCTTGTAAACAAAGATACGTGGTATCTAGTGATTGGTAAAAACATTATTTGATGAATAAATTAAATAATAAATACATATTTCAAAGTTTTATTTATTGAGTCTAATCATCATTTCGGATATTTTTATACGTATAACCTCTAAAAATACTAATAAACATAGATTTGAAATATGCCATTTTAGGGTTTTATATTCTATTTCTTAGAAGATATTTCTTTAGATGATGTTTCTTCTGGTCCTATTAGAGATGTTGTAATCTGTAAAATATATTAGAATAGAAAAAAATAATATTTATTCAACACTAGCTGACCCGGCGAACTTCGTACCGCCTAACAGTCGATTCTTTTTTTTTTTAAATACTTATTCTGCTATTCAAGACACCGGGTCAGCTAGTAAGATAAAAAAAGAAAAAAGAAAGCTTTATGGTATGGTATTAAAGTTCAAATTGACTTAAGTATTATTACGAATCTTTTGTATGGGAATAGAAAAGTGTTGTTTTTAGACTTTTTCAGGCAATTTTTTAAATTTTTCTCTCCGTAAGAACCATCTTTGTAGGTACTTCAAGCAATATTATAAAAAAAGAATTAGCGAAATCGGTACAGCTGCTCTCGAGATTTGCGCTTAGCAACACATTCAGCGATTCATTTTTATATTATAGATATGTATATTACAAATAATACATATTGAAATTTATATATGACTTAACACTGGTTCGGAAAAAAACTCTGCACTATGCCGTTTTTAAAAACGGGTGTTTTTTTAGAAATAGTATGAGAGCCACCTCATTCTATTCTATTTGGGGTTATTCTCAGTTATGTATTCTTTATTATTATAATAAGCCTATTTTATAAAATAAAACAAAAATAACAGATAACTACCAGGTATTCTAATATACTGTTATACTACTAAGACGTTGAAATAAAGGTATTTTTAGAGAAGAAAGTGCAAGTGGGCCGCCGGTAGGAGTGCGGTAGAGAGGTATCCATGAGAATTTCCCAACGTATAAAAAAGCGATATTAGAGACACTGGCATCCATATATCTAGGTCCATTTGGTGACAGTTCTTTTAAACGTGATAGAGCCATGCCTCAGCTATATTACTGGAATAGTTGTAGCACGAATGGGTTCGCTCGACCGGGAAAGGACCACGCTCTCACAGAATACCAGCTTAACGTTTCTGTTTCGTGTAGTAAGGTAAGTATAGAGAACCGGAGACCCTCTTTACTGGAAAGAGGCATTCCATCTTAGTCCTCATGGATGACAACGCATCTGTATTTTGACTCGTAATCGAGGATAGATGTAGATGTAGAGGTCAAAGCAACCACTCACCATCAGGTGGACTGTGTGCCCGTTTATTAGCCTTATTCTAAAAAAAGGATTAGAGTAGACAGACATAAAAGTGTACAAAATCTATTAATGTACCTTACTAGGCTTGGCATAAGTTTTCCTGCTGTTTAAGGTAGGTGGAGCGATGAGTTTTATTGTGAATTCACTGTAAACTTTTTATACTTAGTATAAATATAAAACTGAAAAAATTAAACAGCGACACCTATCGAGTTCAGATTTTCTGATTACCTTTTTTGAGACTAAACCGATATATAATATTCTGAATGGCCGCCTTTACGCAACACTTGCTTTCACTCGCGATCGAAGTGCGCGATTGAACGCGGGAAAACTTGCACGCGCAATCGTTAGTGATTGTTTTTACAAAAGGGTTAGAATGGATATTATACAAGCAGTTATGTTTGCTGGTCTAAGCGTATAATAGATTATATATTTATGAATTTATTTTTATATATAATTTTTAATATATTATTAAATAAAATTAAACATAAGATGGCATGCATAAGACTTGTATATTGCCAAGAAATATGTAATAAGGTCCTTGCTCCATAATCTAGTGCGCATCATTTTACGCCGACAATAGTTTTCACAATGCACGGTGCATGTGAATTATGTTTGCAGCGCACAGACTCGAGTACCTATTCCCGTTCTTCTTTTCTATCTATACATACGCCATACGCGTTCTTTCCCGCGTGAAAGCCGATTCACGCGTTAAAGAGCGTATGTGTAAAAACAGCTATTATGAGTAATTTTTTAATAACTGACTACAGTAGTGCCACCTATAAGATCCTAGTCCATCGTCCCGACATAACAAATACATATGCTGTTTTAATGTGACTTCAATCGTCAATCAGAATTTACACCATCACTATTAGATGCTCCAACGATTATATTATATATTGTGAAGATCTAAAAACGATTTTACGATAATCTTTGTGTACCTTAGGCTTTGTAACAAAGCAGCTAAAACAGCCGGGCGAAGAGCACTCGCATTTGGTACATTGTTTCTTTTTCTAATATTATAAAATACATTTAAGTTACTATAAGACACTCAATGAAAAGGTAATTTAAAAAAAGAAAACAGAAAACATACTGACTTGTTTCTTTTTGTTGTTTTCGTAATCTACATTTTCGGAACATAGACTCGTGGAATCCTGAGGAAATGCGAAAATAAAGTTAATAATAATTAATGCTAATAATATGGGTTAATTAACTTATGAGGAAAAGCATAAACTGTTCTAAAACAAAACACTGCGATCACTTACCCTCCTGCCTCTGCCAAGCATGGTTATTATGGCAAACCCTTGAGAATGGGGAGGCCTACCTACAGTGGACTTTTTGATACTTTGTTGTTTAAATGTTATGTTTTTACCTCTGCGCAAGTACAAAAGTACTGATGGCTATCTTTTGATTCAGTCATTATTTTTATCGAATTATTTTTTATTGCCGAACCGATTCTCGATCTCTTTCTTCATTGTAGGATTATTCTGAAATTAAAATTCGTATTTATTAATATTTAATAAAGCAAAAGAGACATTTCAAAGTAATTAATGTAATATTTACCCCAGGACATGAAGGATTTGGACATTTGGTCTTTTTATTTCCGTCTATACATTTTTTATCCTGAAAGTAAATGTTTTATTTTTAATAAGTCGTAACAATATAAAGATGATGTTATTTGTTAGTTCCCTCTTACGAGTGCGCTAAAATTAAGTGACCGTTAAAATATTTTTTGGTAAATGATTTATAAAGATAATGCGTTAATTTTGTACTGTAAATATTTACAGCTGACAAAGGCCAGATGGCTTCCTGCAGATGGCGGTATAACCACATCGATTACGTGATCTGTAAAACACTCGTGCCGGCGACGGATAACCGCAGACGTCTAGCACCGTAATCGATATTCCAGCAGCAAGCAAACAAGCAAGCAGTGGATTTTAAAGGTCTTAAGATGTTAGGCTTGTAATAATTTCATTAGCTTACAGTTGGACACAAATATTCCGATGGTATCGGCGCCTGTCTTCTTCTTGGCGGTAGACAAGGAGGATTGTGAAAACATCTTGCTGGAGTGTTACATGGTGCACTCGCTCGTGGCGGCCAGTAACACGGCATTAGGTAAGGGAAGCAAGACGATGGTGGGTGACATCTCGGTGAATGGTGGCAGGATCTCGCTGCTTGAGGCTTTTGATAAGTAACAAAACAAAGATATGAAACATTAAAGATCAATATGCACAAACTTCGATAATCTTTCGGGGTACTTTGTCACCCCGAAAGATTATCGGATATGGATATAGTGCTTTTTGTAAAAGACAAAATTTTTATTGATACCGTAAGTTGGAATATGGATATATATATATATATATTACATTTTTTAATATACCACGTTTTTTTTTCATATTCTTACATTGTCATCTGGTTTCGATATATGTTAACAATTTCAAGTTTTTAACTCATCGGAAAGTTACGAGTAGCTTAAAATCAAATACTTAATTCACCTGAACAGACAGAAAGAAACTTAATAAAAACGTGGTAAAATGTGTGTGTTTGATAGTAATAAAATCTTTAATTTCCGTGCAGGTGAGGTATTTAAGAAAATAATTTTAAGACAAGCTACCGTTACCGTTACAGCCTGTTAAAGTTCACTGCTGAACATAAGCCTCCCCCATAGATTGCCTCATAGGGGGGATATTTGCCATACGTGCCACGCTTGACAAACGGGTTGGCAACCGCATTTTTTTACTTTTAATTGTTATTAGGAAGACGCTGCTGCCCATCTCCTGATTTGTTTCCCTCTGTCACCTCTTGCGACATCCACGGGATGATAATATGGGGTAGTCGATATTCTCACACCGCCACTACATGGTAAAGTAACAGTTCTTATTTAAGTACTTTTAAAAGTTTTCAAGTGTAAAAATGTCATAGCTGCTAATGCTAATCATGAAAACATAGTATCAAAGTATACAAAAAAACGTTTAAAATATTTTTTTCAAAATTCTGCTGACGACAGTAAAGATTTTTTTACAGATTTTATCGAGTTTAATTTATTTTATATTCTCGACGTGATTGAGGTGTTTGACGTCATAATTGGCCACTGCTATCTTTAGTTTAAAATTGTTAATTATTGGCCTACTCTGTATAAAAAATAAACTTAGAGCATCTTGAAGTCTTGCAGTGGTATGCTTGGGTTGGTATTTTTTAAAATTATTAGTAAGATAGAATCCCAAGCAGATGTTAGCACATAGCCGCCACCTTCTTTATTAATATTAGGATGTTTTTTCATTTCAATAGCCACGCGAATTATTTTTGGTAGGAATCGGTGTTCGGTCTGTGAACACACGAACAAGATCGCCCTCGCCATTACATCAGATTTGATTGACCACAAATACTCACAGAATAACGAAGGTACGAAAAGAACAATGGCAGAAAAATAGTTGACAAAAATTATCGCGTCTAGAAATAAGTTATATATATATATATATAATGACTTAATGTATTTTAATTAAAATTTTAATTAAATTAGTAATAACTATACTATCAGTAGTAATAAAAATAAAAATGATATGGTTGAGAATAAGTCTCTTACAAAGAACTTCCTACAATAATACATTATCTCAATCATAGTACTATGTAAAGATTCCATTTAATGTTATGACAACCTAAAAACTCTCAATTATGTATTATGTATTAAGCTAACATCAAACAACCACAGAAAGCATGACTTTTTCCAAGTGACATAAGACATAACCTAAAAATTTTCAAATCTAAATATCTTTTTTTTGACGCCTTCCAAGGCCAAAATTTTTAGACAGATTTGTTAAGGAACTGGCGCTTAACATTTTAAGATATTTTTGATATAAAGACGCTACCATTCCTTCTCAACTAATTTTATGTATGAAAGTCTGCTATTGTTCTTTCAAATAGTTATGGGGTTAAATGCTTTTGTGATATGTATGTGTCAATAGCTCTTAAATTTTCTCTACTTGTTTTTTCGGCTTACCTTTTGTAAAACGCAACTGGAACGTGGCGTTATTTCAATCTGAAATAATAGAGAAAAGTGTGATATATACTCGTGTACATGCAGTGTGTTTAATGACAGTGTATTTTTAAGAATTAAGTTTAGTTAGGGCCGATTTTTTCAATCGTCAGGTAACAGTTAAACAGTTATCCATCGAATAAATTATAACCTGGCTGAATATAAAAGTGTACCAATTGAACTATTTTATTCTATGAATTTAAGTGAGGATTGAGGAATCGGCCCTTAGTCATAAAATGAAGTCAATGAACTCTGCAAAGCATGGCCCGTAAAGCAAGATAAGAAACATAGACACTAAGGTTTTTAAAAACGAAATTGTCACCACACCTGTAGAGGTTATTTTCCAGCACTATGATTTGCGTAGTGTGAGCCGTCTCTGAAGGTTATTATGTGCAAAACAAAATAACTGCTACTTATATCGTTATAATCGCTCGCAAAATCGCAACCGTAAAGTAACTTAATAAATGTGTGTTGTAACAAATTTATCTCGTCTAGTTAGTCTTACTATATGTGGTAATGGTAAATCATGGCCCGAAAACAGTCCAATATTGTCCCATGGGTTTTATTCCTATTACGTAGAGCATATTATAGACCTAAATTATTCCACAAAGGAACATCATCTAAATACTTAGAAATTTCGAGTTTATCCTTAAGCGTGAATGGAATTTTTATTAACTTACAGGTAAAGGTTCATACTTCGGCTTCCTTTTCAGTACGATCTGTGAAAAGCAGACTTATTTTAAACGTCCATATTAGGTGTTCATTTTGGTTACTAAACGTTTAGAAATCGATCGTTACCTTTAATCCTAAACCGGTATTGCAATCAACCAAACATTTTGACGGTGAACACAGGGACTGTTTGGAAAAGTAAATACTATAGCATTATTTTCTTGCAAAAAGTAAATAATATTAGATTATAAATAGAGATAAAGCAAGTGCATATACCTTACACTGTGAGCTCTCTTTTGTGCATATACTACTTGAATACTTAAAAAGAAAAATAAGAAATGTGTTAATTTAGTAATTACAGGCGTAATTTATACAATTTACTTGTAAAGGTTTCCTTACATAATTTGGGCAAGGTAAGTCATTCTGAAAAAAAAAGAAAAAAATTATACATTTTTTGTTTTAGCTTGACATTTATTAATAAACAATACAATATAGTGAAAATACGTACACATGGGTTTCCGCAAAAATTACTGCACATCGAACAATAGGGGTCGGCACAGATGTACCTTCCACACTGAAAAGAAGAAAAAATAATATTTCACAAAATTTTAATATTTGTAAATTTTTTTTATAGCGAGGGGGCAAACGAGCATGCGGCTCACCTGATGGTAAGTGACTACCGCCACCCATGAACAACTGCAACACCAGAGGAATTGCAGATAACGCATCTGCCGGCCTTTTAAAAAGGAGTAGGTTCTTTTCTTTAAGGTCCCTAAGTCGTATCGGTCCGGAAAAATCGCTAGTGGTAATCGATCCCACAAGGAAGCTGTGCAAGGAAGAAAACATCTTCTAAATCGCACAGTAGTGGACCGCCAATCATCCAGGTGGTATGGATGGTATCGCAAGTTTTGTCGCGATGTGCGATTGTAAAATTGAGCAGCTGGAATTAGTCCGAACAATTCCTCAGAGCACTCCCCATAAAATATGCAAAGAGTTGCAACATCTCTACGCAGTGCCAGTGAGTTAATTGTCATCCTAAATAATACACAAATATCAATGTAAAAAGGAATCCCTCTTTATTAAATATGTAGGTAATTAATGTCGAAACATTTTTAAAATCCACTGTTGAAGCAAAATACACGTTCCATTCCAACAGCAGTAGCAATCAGCGTGCAAATTTGACCGTCTTATTACAAATAGTATTATATAAGTAGACACAGACTTAAACTAGAATCTGTTTCAATAAAGAACACCACACATAATATAAGTGGAAAATATGCAAACTAAATTTAAAGAATGATATTTGATATAATTATCAACATCATCATTACAGCCCTTCACAAGTCATCTGCTGAACCTCTCTGAAAAATAAGCCTCCTCGAAGAAAACCACAAAACACGGCCCTGAGCCACCTGCATCCATTGAATTTCTGCAGATCTTACCAGGTCATTTAGTCCATACCGTAGGGGACCACCCTACACTTTGATTTGTTTATTTATTTTCATAATATTTACTTTGACATAAATGTCAAATTCCTCGAAGACTGGCGCCCCGGCTATGGAACATCTATCATGTCAATAACTCTTCTTTAAGGATGAGACTTTTGTAATAAGATTGCATATATCATGTACTTCTAGTCTAGTCTAGCATGAACTTCTTTATTGAAACAGACTACAGTTTAAACCTGAGACTAATTATAAAATAGCTTTTGTAACCGCCTCATTAGACGGTTAGAGTTTTAGCCATATGTGAGTGCAAAACCTATATTTTTGCACTGGTAATGTTGTTTCCCATCATTAGTCTATGAGAATAATTTTGATGGAATATTGTGGTGGATATTGTCCAATCTACACCGCATGAAGCCGGGGTTGGCCTATGAAAAAATAGTTGATATACTACTACAAAGGAAATAATTTTTACTACTCATGCGGTTAAAGAATGGGATTGAAAATGGCGTCGCCTCTATTCATATCTCGCACGCTCACTATATCACTATATATAGTCACACCCGCCGGTAAAGACTGCAAAAAATATGTTGCGATATATGCGTTTTTCATACGTTCTAAAACTTCAGTTCAACTTTTTATTGGAATCATTGGTAACAAAATATCATAAACTACAAAAACAATTCAGTCCGAATTTGCTAATTTGTGAGCTACGATGCGTTTTGATGGTTTTATGCATACTTGGTTGATTTTGTTTGTTAATATTTTTGTATAAAATATTTATGAATGCCGTTGAGACATGAGTAAATATTTTAAAATTTTTGTTTGTCTGTATGTCCGAGGTAATCTTCGGTATGGTTGAACCGATTGTAATAAAACTTCACGAACAAATAGAGAGAGAATCACCAGAAGTGATCTAGACTAAATTTTATCCGAAAGTTTAGAGATATAATTAAAAATATTGATAAGATAAAATAAAAGGTCTTTAATGATTATCGCAAGTTCGAATAACGACACATTACTACTAGATCCCACGCAGGCGAAGCCAGAGCGTGTCGCTAGTTATAAATGTTATTTTAAGATTTATGTACCTTCTTGCGTATACAATTCTTTTCAAATATTTTCGCATTAACAGAAAATTTCCAATTAACCGAATAATATAACGTTATAACAATATACCGTTATTACCGGGTTTTTGGTATTGGTAATGTGTATGTTGATGGTGCGGGCTCGACGAGCCGCCATTTCTAATCCCATTCTTTATCCGTACGGACTGTAAGTTCATTACCTTCAATGAAGACGGCAGATCTGTATTGCTCTGAAATTTAAAAAAAATGTAAATCAAAACAAATGAAAGACATTAAATTTTGAAAAGCATTATCTTAATGAATAAAAAAAAATCTATTTCAAAAAGTAATAATAGCAAGTTCTCTTCGTAAGCCAAGAATACGCAGAAAATTAAAAGATACTAAATCCGAAATATATGCTATCTATTTTCAAAATTATCTAAGAGCCTTTTATCTTCAGTTCGGTGATGCCAGAATTTCAGAAGAGCCTGCTATATGCGTTTAATTAAGGATAGGCAACCACATAATTTATCACCCATGAACCTTATTTTTACAAAATTAATCACCATTTTATTAATCAGTGTGATCATAAACCAGTCTGCTAAAGAATGTTTACCAGCTAGCGTCTTTTAAAGGACCATGTCTAGAAATTTAAAAGCAAAGACTAGTAATAATACAGAATAGAGAATGCTCAGATTTTTTTACTTTCGTGACTTTAAAATCGGATTCGATTGTCCCGGCTTTCGAAAATAATAAATATTACTTCGAGAAATTTTCCATGTCAAGATAGTGAATTTAATATTTATTTCCTCGACGTTTGAAAATTAAATATTGTTTTTTGTACATCTTTAATATAGTGGATTTTTGCAAAGTAAAGCCTGATTCTTTTAATTATCTTACAATTTTGTTTGTCAAATGTAATGTTTTTTAAATCTACTACGTTTTGAAGCTCATCTCTCCTCTGACTGAAGAAGAAACTCCTTACCTCGTGAATTCAAAATCCCTTTTTTTGAGTGAGCTCTAATCAGTTATCGCTTCTGCGATTTATGTATTATGTTTAATTCGACATTGTTATTATAAGAATTGCGAGCTCACTGTAGGTCTTTTTAAGCTAATTCAAACAAATTCATTAAAAAAAAGATTCAAACAAAGGTTTAATGTTCTTTTTTTAATATATGTAACAAAATATCTCCGATTATATTTTATTATAATTAATTGACCTGAATTTCAGAAGATCACAGTATATACTTCTAATTAGGATATGATGATAACTAAATTAGGTTTAATTTTTTAAAATTATAAAATTTTTAAGAATATATCTGTAGGCATTTGTTAAAAGAATCGCATCTACTTACAACACTGGTATGGAAAAAAGCCCTAGAATTCACAGTGTTCATTTTAATAGTTAGTCGCCAGAGAGAGCAGTAGTCACTGACTATCGAGGGGACTGTAAGCTCGTTTATCACTTCAGTTTTATAAATAAAAATACGGTCGATCCTGCAGGCCATTCCTGGAACTTCTCGCTTATTTTCAAGCATAATGCTCTAAATTCTATTTAATTTTTTTAAATTTTTTATTTTTGTGAAATCTTTGAAACGACTCGACCCATTGACAAGAAAATCTAATCAGCTCGAAGTCTCCATGAACACTTTGGAACGCCGTGTCGCCCATCTTGATCGGTTGGTTCGTTCTAAAGATATCGTACAACAAAATGGTATTTACACATAGTCCGGCCGTGTGTGTGTTTACACACTCACACACACACGGCCGGACTTCTAGTCGGGAATAATTCCAACTATTCCCGGCTTAGAAAGCCTTCTAGGACTCAAAACGTGGAGATCTGATGAAAACTCGCATTCCCAAAATCAGACTGAAATCTATAACTTTCTACTTTTGAAAATTATTAATTTTCAAAGCAGGAAGTTGAAAAAACAGTAATGTAACGTAATATTATCCTTGAAATTGAAATAGGAGATGTTATATGACGAGAGAATGCCCTCGGATACTACTTACGTTCAGATGACGTCATAAGATTATGTAAATTTTAGAAACCTTATGTTTACAACATCCTCTTCCACAGCAAATTTGTATAATAGCGGTTTGAGGAAAAACGGGTCCTTCATCCTTCTTGCGGCTTGTCCTCGAAAACTTTGAATTAACGATGGTTATATTAGATAACCCAAACATATTGTGTTCTTTGTCCAACCGTAGGATAGTTGACAGACATTTCTCACCGAGGCTGATACATGATCCAATGTTTTCTTCAGAATCACTAACAACATAAGATCCCGTCAATGACTGATTCGGAGATAGACACGGAGACCTAGAAGAAACAAATACAAAATTAAACCTATTAAATATTTAATGTTACATTTGTTTTGCTGCTTTATGCTAACGATAATGTAGTACCTTAATAATTTAGTCACGTCAATGATCAAAACGCTCCTTTGTTCGTATCCCTTACCTTCGCTCCCGTTAACGCGTTTACTTTTCTGGAACGATACCAGGCCTGTATAGTTTAAAAACTTTAGGTATAATTCGACAAGTTAATTTACCAACCTAGAATCTATGGATCCCGATTGATTTTCACTTAGCCATTTCATTTTTGTGAGTCTTAATATACTTGGCTTATTAATTTCATCAGATAAATCATCAGTTTCAGAACAATCGCTGTTCTCGTCAGTCGTTGATGAAGGCTAAAAAATACAAAAAAACAAATAAGTTGTTAAAAAAGAATAAACACATTTATTTATTTTAATATATACTTATTTATTTACGTAAGCTGTTGATGCGTCTGTTTCTTTCAACGAGTCATCATTTTTTGATTCAATATGCTCATGACTTGCCTGCATTCTTTCTATATGTCGTGGTTCGTCTTCCATAACCTTAGAAAAGTGATTTGAGATAGATATTACATAACAATAAATAATCAAAACTAAATAAAACACATTTAAAGTAAGAAGTAGGCAGAAAAGTAGATAAGTTTCTCAACAAAAAGATAGAAAGCAAGATATACTCGTACGTTAATTAAAAACCTAATATATTGTTCTACGTAAAATTGAAAATCTAATGAATTTAATATGTGGTGATTACTTTAAAACTAACAGAAGTACTCATATAATACAGAAGCACTCGCTTCGTGTTACCTGTCTGTACAAAAAGGATAGAAAATAAGCAAAATGAAATGTTAACACTTTCAGAGGTATGGCAATAGAAATATCCCCTTTTCCGTTAACCATTTGTCCCATTCCTTGATCGTTTCCCTTACCTTTTGCATAAAACCAAAGACATTTAAATATAGACAGAACAAAGCGGTCGAAATTGTAATACATTACTTGTTACATTAAGTTAGGTCACTAGTGACATGAGACCACGAGAGGTCATAAACGTGTGCAATAACTTTGGTCAAAAGAAAATAAGTTTTGAAGAAAATAAACCGAATACACTGAAGAACTAATTATTTTAATAGATGTTTTTGATACTTAAAGCAAGATAACGTTACTGAAGTACGAGATCTAAGTTTTTGTATGACAATGTTCCCAATGGCTGTTCTATAATCTTTAACCTTTTGTTTAAAATTTTGCATAAAACATACTTCATCAATGAGCTCCTGGGACGGACGGCTGAAGCAACGGACCATGATTTTTTCAATATCGGTTGGCTTGATTTCGTTCAGCTGACACATATATGTGTAAAATCCATTTTGATCTGATGTATTATGACTTAGCTCCATTTTGGTATCTAGTAGTTGCAAGTAATCGCTGTCTTGTTTTGTTAAACTATGGCTGGAGTCTTTTTTATTCATACTGTAGCAATTTATATACTATTATCTATTTGGAATGGGAATTCTGTTGTTACCGACATTTTTTGAAATTAAAATAAACCTAGAGTTTAAAATCTGCTTGTCACATTATGGCCGCCATTTTGACATTTGAATTAAATTATTTTGTACACGCATTGTCATTTTAATTATTTTTCTTAATCGACACAATAAGAACTAAACGGCTTGTTTTTACAGAATGAGGATAACACAAGAGAACACAGTCTACCTGTTAGTAAGTGAATGCTGTGGCTCATAGACATCTACATTTATCCTCAATTAAGAATCAAAATGCAGATGCGTTGCCACCCCTGAGGACTAAGATGGAATGCCTCGGTACCAGTAAAAAGGGTCTCCGGTTCTCTACACTCAACATATGAAACACGGCAGCTGCAGCAGGAACATCTGTGAGAGCGCGGACATACCCCGGTTGAGCCGATGCATTTGTGCTCCAACTATATCATGTGGAAGTGTGGCTCTACCATATATAAAAAGTTTTGTATTATTATAATATATTTTTTGCATGTATTTTCTTACACACAGCCCACCTGAAGACAAGTGCATGCCGCGGCCCATAGACATCTACAACTATCCTCAATTAAGAATCAAAATGCAGATGCGTTGTCAATAGTCACCCCTGAGGACCAAGATGGAATACCTCTGTGACGGTGCATAATTATTAATATTAAATAATAATTAATTTCTATATAAAGTCGTCCAAAATATTTTAAAATTAATATTTTTAAGAATCAAAATGCATTAATAATCATAAAGTTGAAATACATTTATTTCAAACGTTAAGTATTATAGTAAAACTAGCTGTTCCCCGCGACTTCGCTCGAGTGTAATTTATTACGATTGGATTTCATAGGTTTAATGTTTTTGCGTGGAACCCTAATTCTTTTCTTAAAATAAAAGAGGCCTAAGTTACTCCTTATAACATCAGCTATCTGTCGTCTCCCGTCAAAATTAGCCGAGCCATTTCGGAGATTAGCCGGAACAAACAGACAAACAGATAGACAATAATTTTAAAAATTGTGTTCTTGTTATAAGAACCGTATTTATTTCATATGCATTTAGTGAAAAGCCTTATTTTACATATTGTACATTAGAAACGGACACTACAATTTGATTTTATAAGAGATCTGCCGAAGACTCATACATATATGTAGATGGTGGTCGATCGCGACTGAATACCGAAGTACTATTGCACAATGTAATAGCCCCATATTAAGGGCATATTAAAGTAAGGTATATGAAACAAAAACAACAATATGGAAGGTGTAGACATATTGGACACCTTAGAAGATGCATAAGCATTATAATAGCAGAGTTGGGGCTTGAAGTCTCATATATAAAATGAAAGTAAGGTTTATGAAATAAAGCAAACATGTGGAAGGTCTCAATTATATTATGTAAATGCGTTATATTGATAGAAATAGGCTTTGAAAAGGATTATTATGATGTCGTGTAGACTACCTTACCGTGACCGAGATTGCATTTATCATTGACTCGATAACCGATATGTCCCATCACTTTCATACCAGAATAAACTAGATTTTTATATGGAATATTATTTAAGCTTATTTGCAATGAATTTGATAAAATTTTTACTTCTAAAACATTCTCCTTGAACAATCGCAAGGCATTCAATGAATGGGCCCTAGTAGGAGTCCATAAGAGCAGACAAAGGTTATATGATCTTTAGTATGAAAGGTCATATAATGCTAGCGTTGAGTTTAGGGAATATGTAAAAAAATATTCAAAAATATTTAAAAGAGTATGCTCCACAGTCAAGTCTTTGCGTTTAAGCAACAAAATTAAGACGGCTTCTACGAGTAATAAAGTTATAATGATATGGGGTATAATTAATAGTGAAACTGGTGAGGTCAACTTTCGCAATTCAAACTACCAGTTAATTTTTAACAACAAATTTACTGAATCAGACCAGGACGTTGCAATGGTTTTTGAATCTGCCGAATCATTAGTTAGTTAGTTTAGTTTAGTTTACGACGGGCTGTTTTCCGCAATTCCACGTCTATGCGCGTATTTTGCGTGTGGGCAGGAATAATATGCTTATTCGAGCCATGAGATCTACCCGAAGAAGCTCAACAGTCCTTTGATGTTGCATGCAACTTCGGAGAGTGATCCCGGCGTGCCGAGATGTTTAGCCCTGTATGTAGCGACCTCCGGACATTTCAATAGCACATGGGCCGCCGTTTCTTCTTCCCCCATACATGCCCTGCACAGGGGACTATCTGTAACACCTATAGTAAATAAATGCTTGTTAAAGTTGCCGTATCCTGTGATAGCACTTGTTACTATCCTGATCTGCGGCTTGTTCAGTCTCATTAGAACTTTGGTTAAACGACTGTTTATTTCAGGCAGGGCCTCCCTAGCTTGTCTACAGTCTAGTAGATTTTTCCAAAGCTGAGCGTGTAGATTAGTGTAGTGTCTACATACCAATGAACGAACATTACCAAAGGGGATTGGTATGATTGGTTCCGGCCCTGTAGTGGCCAGAGCCGATCCTCTTCTGACCAGTTCGTCTGCTGCATCGTTGCCTCTGGATCCACTGTGTCCCTTTATTCATTGCAGAGTCACATTGTTGTTTTTACATACCTCATTTAATCGTTGATGGCATTCATATATTAGTCCTGAATTCACCACATTGCAACTCAGAGCTTGTAGTACCTAACTGCCGGTCAGTAGTCTGATGGGGAAGTCCCTAACATTCCTAGCATCTATTGCTATGGCCGCTTGAATGATATCCATACATTCCGCCTGAAAGACTGTGTTATAGGTACCCAGCGGTGTGCATATGTGAATATTAAGGTCTTCAGAGAAAGTTCCAGAACCTACACCTTCATTTGTTTTAGAACCATCGGTGAAAACTCTAAGCTCTTTTGGGCTTAATCCTTCCGACTGGCTGGTTTCATTTAATTGTATCTTATACTTCTTATCGAATACAAATTGTTTAGGAAAGTATCATTACTTAAAAAAATGTAAATGAGTGTAGAAAGAATTTTACATTTCATAAAGTATCATCAAAACATATTGTCAAATATTTTAAAACTAGATATTTTAAGAAAACCGCAGATCTGTGGGGGATTTCTGTTAAAGCTATTGCGTCTATAATAGATATAAAAGCACCTCAACTAGCTATTATTTTAATACTAGTAACCAATCTGGTGTGTTTCCTGATTCAATGAAGCATATAAATTTGATAGTATATTGGTTCCCGCCAATTTCAGACATATTTCTGTACTGCCAACATTTAGAAAAAACAAATCTTGATCTTGGTGTTGCGCTGAATAAAAATATCTTCAATACATGGTAGAATTCACAGTATGCTTTGGGTATATTCTGTGACCTATCCAAGGCCTTAGATTGTTTTCACCATGAAACATTAATCAGGAAACTTCAAAACTACGGCGTAAGAAGTGATGCTCTTAGATTAATTATTTCATATTTAAGTAACCGTACGCAAAAAGTTGTCATTAATAGTATAAGTTATTCCATGTCGATAGTACACACGGGCATGCCTCATGGCTCAATTCTCGGCCCTTTTCTGTTTCTTGTATATATTATTGACTTACTTTACATAGTAGGGGATAACAATGATATATTATTGTTTGCTGATGATACTTCATTAATTTTCAAATTAAAACGATCGTAGTTTTACAAAAATAAGTTCTATATTCTGTAAATACTAGAAACAGACATAAGCTAGCAGTACCAGTTTCTCGACTCCACCTAGTCAGTAATTTATTCTTCGTCCGTATGCGGGTGGTAGCTGGAGGAAGGAGATTCTCAAGGCTAAGGTCGAAAGCTGCTCAACTTGGGACCCTATTCCCTTGAGTTGAGCCGTAGACTTACCATATAATTGGTGGTGATACCTTACAATTACATCACGTCTAAAGGGGCGGCGATCTGGCAGGTGGTGGCGCGATGGTCACGGAATGCTTTTTATGGCCAGTATGTCTATTTCGACGTGTGACGTACATTCACTGTGGCTGGATTTCATCGTATTCTGTATGGCCTTAACACGCATACTAACAAAGGGCCAAGCTCACTTTTACTGGTTAGTTATTTTGCTATAGACTACAGTCCAGTCCCCAAATTCTTATCCCTTTGCGGCAGCAGCGCGTTGTTTGGTTGGCGCTCACAGCTTACGGTATTGGGTCACCTGTGTGGGGTCGTGTGCCGCCCCACATTTTTTTTAATGTGGGAGAACGAAGCGGGTTTATTTATATAAATATTGTGAACAAGTGGGAAGGGATCAATTATAAGGAATTATTAAATAATACACTAACACTGCCACAACACGGTTTAATAATTGTGATTAATAATAATAATAAATTCATTAAAATATTAATTAATAATTAAATTTAATTTTAATAATTTTAATTTTTCTATAAGATTGACATACGAGTACGTAAGTGATGGAGTCCGCCTGATGGTAAGTGAAAATTGTGGCTAATAGACATCCACATTTACCCTCGATTAATAATAAAAAATTGGCAACCTTGCAGACTAAGATTGCCTTATTTTAGTTGATTTATAAATGAGTAATTTTTTTATAGTATTCCAAAGCAATTTAGAGTTTTTAGTATTTTGAGCCAATTTTTCTTCTTTTCTAAGAGAAGGCCAAATTGGCCTCTAAAAAGCTTGGCGTGCTCAGTAGAGCGGGACAGTATTTCATGCCAGCTCAACGCCTGCAACTTTACAAGGCGCAGGTTCGACCTCACATGGAATACTGTTCCCATCTCTGGGCTGGGGCTCCCCAGTGCCAGCTCCTTCCACTTGACCGCATCCAGCGCAGAGCGGCTCGAATCGTCGACGACCGAGTCCTTTCCGATCGGCTCGACTCATTGGCACTGCGAAGAGATGTTGCATCTCTTAGCATTTTCTTTCGCATTTACCATGGGGAGTGCTCTGAGGAATTGTTCGGATTAATCCCAGCCGCCAAATTTCACGAACGC